GGAATCCTGCTGTCAAAAAGAGTTGATGTAGGCTTACAGGACATTTTCAAGTTGGAATTCTAACCAGTCTGGAGTTACATTTTGAGCTAAACGGAAGCAAATCGAAATAACTAAAAACCAAGTGAAAATAACAAGTGAATTAAAATAGAACAAAAAAATACATCTTCCTTTATGCATATACACACTCAAACACACCCCTAACAAAAGGACACACATTCGCGCATACTACCTACAGCCATATATATATATGTCTCTGCATACATATTATAGTGCATATACCTTAATAGTATATAGAAAAGTGAAAAAATTATTTTTTCCCATTTCAAATGTTCAATAATACGTTTTAATGCACCAATTGATGCCAATTTGTGTTAAATAACAAAAAAAAAAACAAAAGAAATTTTATAAAACAAAAAATCCATTTTAAATCTTAAGTAAAAGCAAAGAAAAAATATGACTAAGCAGCTACCGCAGCAGTGACGACATACGCTTACACAATTTCTCTATACCATAGAAGAAAGTGAACCAATAATATTTTAACAAAATTTTATAAAGACCAAATATAAAGAAAAAACAAAACCTTAGATTTAAACAAAATGGTTACCGAAAACGGAACACAGGTATTTACAATTCCATTGTTAATTTCTAATAACAGAGTCAATTTCAACTTTTCCCAATTGCAAAAATTTCAAGGAATACACACAATAGTCGTCTGGCAGCCATGATGGCTGGCATCCATTTTTTTCTTTTCTTAATGGCTATCGATTTTTCACGGACTGATTGAAAATTTAAAAGTAGTTATTTTAGTTTCATATTAATGAAAAGCATTCGTTTTCAATGCAGGCAAAGGCATAATTTTGTAATTGAATTGATTGAATTGAATAGAAAAGGTTTTGAGATATTTCAGATATACGTTAAAACTTTTAAGGTTAGAAAAAAATTAACAAATTTTAACTAAATTCTACCCAATTTGATTTACATTTATTCGAGAAAGAATGTGCTTATTTTGGTTAAAATTACTATTTGAAGCAGTTACTAAATATAACACCTTTTGCAGTTGGTGGTTAAAAATTGTCTTTGGAAGGGTGTGGTTTTTTATATGGGTTGCATGTGTGTCGCGCCTCGTACCACATACAAGCTGACAGATAAACTTTTTTAATGTCCCAAATTTGGAGAGTGCACGAAATAATTATTGCCCAGTTGTGGGCCTATTTTTTCTTTGGATTAATAAAAAAGGAAACTAATACTACATGCATTACATAATTCATGACTCATGTCAGTGTACAGTGTAGTGTTTGCTGTCAGGCGAAGTCGAGGTGTTCGACAAAGCAACCGACGTTAAATGGGTGGCTAGTTTGGTTGGGGATTACGTGATTTAATATATATAAAAATAGCTCTGTTGAATTCGAACTAACCTAAATAAAATCATATAGTATAGACCAATCATCCATATATGGGATTTGCGAAATCGGAAAAAATCCCCTTCATTTCGTCAGTATGTTTCGAAATTTTCCAGTAAAAGATTTGCACGAGTTCAAATTTTTAACAACAACGAATTGTTGGTTTTTTACATATTCCCTAGGCAGACAAGCATCATTCAATTATCGGGGTTATCAAGGTTAAATATCAAAGTTCAGATGGTTGAGTAAACACGCACATTACGTAATCGATATTAGATAGATAGAAATTAATAAACTATCCATTAGGACTTGTTCTTTGTATCAAGGTTACCTACGCTATATTACAACTTCAGTACAATCTAAACATCATTCAATGGCTTCGATTCGCCTACAACAAACATTAGCATTCTGGTGTTTTTTTCTTTTTTTTTTTTTTTTTTTTTTTAACTGAACGACTCTTCTTCGGTGTTCAAAAAAATGGAACTGGAAATTGTTAGTTTTGCATTAATAATTTCTTGTTATACCAGAATTTGTTTTCTTGCTACAAAGAAAACACTTTTTATTTAAATCAAAATAAAAAAGACAACCTTTTTAAAACCCGATCGATTGGATTTTCGTATATTCTAAAATCCACATTCAATGTTGACCAATCGCATTCTTGTCAACCAAATCGAGTGGCTCTTATTGGAAACAACATTAGCATGTTTCCCATATTCCAGTCGCTCTTCTCACCACTCAGTAATCGAAATGTTCTCTCCTTCTCGCAGGTTTTTGTGTTGGAGTTTGTTTATTTTATTTTCTCTTTCAAAATAATGACGCCATTCTTCGAAAAATGAAGGGTAGTTCGCGTGCAGATTTCGAAAATAAAAATTATAAACAAACGTTTGCGCACACAGGCGAAAGACTTACCAATGCCGGAAATGGAATCATGTGTTTCACGATACAACTACAGCCGACCGTAAACACAGCATATGTACACGATGTGTTTTTTTTTTCTTTTTTGTTGTATATTATGTGTGTGAAAAGTTTAAATGTTGTAGGGGTGGGTGTTTGTTTCAATTTTAATCCACCTGCTTTCCCACCCAATGTTAGCAAGCTGTTAAACAGGTGTTTTATTGTCAATAGCTTTGGCTAGATTTTTGCTTATCAGTAGAGGTCATATTGTACCTAACTTTGTAGGTCAACATTGGAACACGTTCGCGATTTTCCTTCGAATTCGAATGGTTTTACCATTTATTCCAACATCGGATACAAAAACGATAACAATACATTTGAACTAAGGCCTATATAAAGTAGGCCAAGAAGACAACTTTTGAAAATAAAAAAACCGCAATATGCCTTTTGACAGCAAACTTAGGTCATGATGTTACCAAAAGGATTTCGTTGATTTTCAAAATATTTTCAGTATTTGCTAAGTATACAAAAAAAAAAAAAAAAAACGTGGAAATAATTTTCCAAATCGGTTTCAGATGTTTGGCTAGTCTTCCTTGTCAATAACTTGTTAAAGATGTATAGTGGATTTTGGAACATCATAATGTGTAGGATATGTACAAATGTGTTGATAAATGTTCTTATTTTTCATAGACATGGTGCAATAACAGGAGGTAGAATAAAGCTAACTCCTAAATACATTTTTTGCAGTTTGTATATGTTTCTATATTGCTTTGAACAAAGCAAAAAAAGAAAACAATTTGAAATTACTTCGAATAAAGAATCATATTTTCAACGTTACAATTTGTGGATTCTGGATTCTGATTCTTGGATTCTGTGTTCCAACATTCCATTTACTCTTGTTCCGGGCGCCTTTGAAATTAAACAACCTTTCTGGCGGTACCATGTTTACACCTTTCAATAAAAATACATATGAATATTTTTTAGGTATAACTTTCTAAACATGGTCACGTGGAAGGATTAAAAACAATTCCAATCGGACCGTGGGTACTTTCAAAATACTTTTAAAGAAGATGGAGTTTTAATGAAAATTTTCTAGGAAATCAAAACACATAGAGTCAGACAAGTCCATGTTTAAATTTACTTAACACGAAAAACACAGAACTTATTATCTATCTGCCCATTATAATCATAAATGCTAGGTAAACGATAATTCTATTAAACATGGACATCGACGTATTGTCCTTTAACTTGTATTACTTCGATTGGGCGAAAAATTGGTTTTGAAATCTGAATGTGATATTAGAAAAGTATAGAGATCCATACAAAAATCAAGTCATTGAAATTTGAAAAGATGAGCGTTTACGAAAACAACTATAGATTTCTGTGAAAAAAGTGGAAACTTGCATACATAATAGTCCGTCTGGTTACCCAAAAAAAAAAAAAAAAAACAAAAAAAGTAATCATTGTTGCAAATCTTTACTGAAATTCTTCTGTTATCACAAAAGTTCTGCATAAAAGAGGTGTCTTGAAAGTTATTTTACAGAGAGTTTGACAAATCATCTGATTGTGTTATACAGGATTGATGTCTGTTTACTTTGAAAATGGAAGAATTTTTCATGTAAAAGTATGTTTAATAAAGAGCGACTCACAGCTAATTACATATTGCTTTTTTGCCCATTACATTACATTTCTATCAAATTTTCATTTTGATATCCATGGAACAACTTTTTTTCTTGGAGTTTGAAAAAAATCAATAAAACAGTATATTGAGTATACGAATCATTTAAATGTCCTAAATCAAGCTTGATCTTTCACAGAAATATGACACTGATATTTCTGCCAATAAGTGTCTAACAACATAAACGTATTATTTTTATTTATTTTTTTTTTAATTTACGTTTTTTAAAATACGTTTTTCTCCAGCCTTGTTTTTTGAGATATTACACTCTTTAAGCATATGTGCTATTGATTTTTCGAGATAAGCTTATTAGATGGGGGTTGCAATACATAAGTCAAGTCAGAAAGATTTAACAAAATTACTATTGTTCTATACATTTTCCCATTAGCTATGGATAGGTCAAGAAAGGCGTAATTAATTCTGTAAAAGTAATTGAACCATTGGAAATATTTTTATCAATTCACTTAGTTAATTAAAGATAAAAAAAGAAGAAAATATAAAGATCCAACCAATGAATGATAAAAGTATCTTTTGATATATTGTTGTATTTCTCTCCAAGACCAATAAATACTATTTATAAAGTACTCAATACCAAGTAGAAATCTTATAAATAGTTATCACACTACACTATTATAAATCGAGCTATAAAAGGCTTCCCAGTTGAGACTACTAAAAAATAATAAAAATAAATCAATAGAGGCATAATAACCCACACAAATTCCCATAATTGCAATACCATCTCCTAATGGAAGCTAATTCGAAATGTGTGGAACAAAATTCATCAAGTCTTAATTCCGTGATCTGAGAAAATGTTTACCGACTATATCAAATTAATAAAAGTTTTTCGAGTTCAAGTGCGGCGGATTATCATCAATAAAAATAGTTTATATGAATAGCTATTGTCGAATTATGTGGAGAGTTTTGCTTGATTACATCTCTACATTGTGTGACTCGATCTGAGTGACAATTAATTTTAAACTTTTCTTGCATTGTTTGTTAATTGAATTATTTTTTTCTATGTATTTCAGGGCGATGGAAACACATCGTTTCTGCGAGCAGCCAGAGCTGGCAACATGGACAAAGTTCTCGAACACTTGAAGAATAACATTGACATTAACACCAGTAATGCGGTAAGTTAAATAATAAACCAAAAATCCGAACAGGCAATAGCAATTATTAACTTGACTTTTTATTATTGCAGAATGGATTGAACGCATTGCATTTGGCGTCCAAGGATGGTCACGTTCACGTCGTCTCAGAGTTACTGAGACGTGGCGCAATTGTCGACAGTGCAACCAAGAAGGGTAACACTGCTTTGCATATTGCTTCGTTGGCAGGTCAGGAGGAAGTTGTAAAATTGTTATTACAACATGGCGCCTCCGTTAATGTACAATCACAGAATGGTTTTACACCGTTGTACATGGCTGCCCAGGAAAATCACGATTCGGTGGTGAAATTATTATTGTCAAATGGCGCCAATCAGAGTTTAGCCACTGAAGATGGATTCACTCCATTGGCCGTGGCAATGCAACAAGGTCACGATAAGGTTGTGGCTGTTTTATTAGAAAGTGACACCCGAGGCAAGGTTAGATTACCAGCCTTGCACATTGCTGCCAAGAAAGATGATGTAAAAGCAGCTACATTGCTTTTGGATGTAAGTTGAATTTGCTAAATGAATTGATGTTAGTTGAAAATAATCTCGAATAGGCAAAATACTTTATGCTAATATACTCTTTGATATTGTTTACATAGTCTCAAAAATGAAGAATACAATTCAAAACATTTACACAAACTAATTTACTAAATTAAACTATGCCAACAGAACTGAAACCTTAACCAAATTAAATGAGATAATTTCTAGTTGCAATCGAACCCTTTCCAATTGAAATAAAACAAGTGTTTGATCTCTTAAAATGTCTGCAAACTATGTTTTTTTGCCAAGGTATTCGGTATGCATTAATTCAGTTCAAACTATATGATTTCGAACTAAAATTTAATTTTCCATTAATTTGTTACAAGTTGGACGAAGCTATTTTATAATTTTATACAATATATTGAAATGCAACTAATTTAAATATATTTTCAATGATTCTTGATGTTAAAACTTGGGGAAGCTATTAAAATGAAATATTTCTAAGACTATACTAACATTAGAAAAATCCAGTTTTGATTTACATTACTAAGCATGGTACAATAAAAAGTTATGCTACAGCTACCAGATTGTTTTGAAAAATAAAAACCAAATATTTTAAAGATATTTATCACTTTTCGCATGGACTTGAAAATTAAACAGTTTGGATCATATTTTTGAAATAAAATCCAAGTTTTTCATTTATTTTTTGTGCTTTTTTACCTATATTACTTATGAGAAAATTATAAAAAAAAAATGAAAACAACTTGTTGCATCTGATTAAGTGTGTATTTCTATAGTTTTACGAAGCTGTTCTACCTCCTTATTGTACCATGTTACTATGGCGGTGGGGCTATGATACCATATGATTTTAATTTTTGTACCCTCCACCATTGTATGGTAAATTAAGTTTGTCATTCCGTTTGTAACACTTAGAAATATACATTTAGACCCCACAAAGTATATATATTCTTGATCAGCATAACATTCTATGTCGATTTAGCTCTTCCCGTCCGTCTGCCCGTCTGTGGAAATCAATCTAGCTTCCGAACGAAATGAAGTAGGTTGATAAAATTTTGCTCAAATGTGTATTATGTCTTCAGGACTTTTGGTATTGAAAATGGGTGATGTAGGTCCACGTTTTGGTATAGCCCCCATATAATGGTACCCTCTTTTTTCGGTATTTTGGTGATTTAAGCTACATTATTCACCGGAAATGTTTCAAATTTGGTGTTTGAATTTTGTAATGAATACTACAGCCTATGACAGAAAATTGTCTGTGCAGGTCCACGTCTTCGTATATATAACGGTACCTCTCTATTTTCGGAATTTTGATGATTTTAGCAACATTACTCACCGAATGTTTTTATTCAAGTTTCGTATTTGAAGTTTATAAAAATAAACCTTTAGAGATACATAGAATATATAGATTTTGAAAATAAATTTTGACCTTTCATTCAGTTTTCAATTATTCATTCACAATCAATGCAACAAGTTGTTTAGTTTTTTGATTGTTTTGATAGTAATTCTGACATTACAGTTAACCTACCTAGTCTTCACTATACCATGGTACCATGCATGTTACTAAGTATTTATTTATTGGAATTTGTACATGCATAAAAAAATTGCCATGGTCCAATAAAAGGTACGGTAGAGACACCAATTGTTTTTGAGTGTGGCCGACCTTTGCCAATTTAGTATTTTTATATATTGTTTTGAACAATCAAAATTAATGTTTGGAAAAATGTACACCGCGGGGCACCCATTGAAGATATTGACCAAATTTCGCTCTTGAATATTGAACAATTTGCTCATTTTTTTAAAGAAAATGTTTTTCATGCACCTTTCGTGCTTTTTAATCCATTTTGAGAATGTCAAATAAATCATTCTGACAGAAAGCGGGCCATAGACATCTATTTCAGTGCTTTACCGCCTTAGTCTACTATTATTACTACTTATAATATAAAACCAAAGGTTCCCTTTAATTTTGGAAGAGGTTTCATTTGAATCGGAGCTTTAGAATATTTTAAATACTGCTCCATTATAGTTTAATGCAAGCCACACACGATACAACTGGTTGTACAACTTGGAGAGTACTCAAATTGTGTGTTTCGGTCACAAACGATACAACTTTGTGTACAAAACTTTACGCAATTTTACTTTTCGTAGAGTTTATTTGAGTTAAGATGACACCGGAAAAAATCATACTCTATAATAGAATTCATACTCTATAATAGCTTGTATTTATTATTAATTTTTGAAATTCCATTTTATTCCATGCCCACAAACGTTACAATCAGTTGGTACAACATGCCAAATATCAAAAAATTTTGATTTTTTTATACAACCGAGAGACAACTTCGTACAACCGGGCCACAAACGATACAACGATACACAAACAAGTTGTACAACCAGTTGTATTATGTGTGGCTTGCATAATAATTAATTGGTGGGCTAAACGTATTAGATTGCAACCATGTTGTGGGGCCTGGAGCGTTTTACCCAAAAATATTTATTTCCTAAAAAACAAATATACTGTTCCGATCATAGTGAAAATATTGTTATTCATTTTTTGTTATTTATTCTTATTCTTTCCCAATTGTTAGTTTCAGTTTTAAGAGTTACTTTCGAGATTGTTTTGCAAATACAGTCGGAATTTTTATACTATGCCAATATACATAATGTTTATTTTCTTTCTTATAGAATGATCATAATCCTGATGTAACTTCCAAATCTGGCTTTACTCCCTTGCACATTGCCTCGCATTACGGCAATCAAGCTATTGCAAATCTATTAATACAAAAAGGAGCCGACGTTAACTTTTCGGCTAAACATAACATTAGTCCACTTCATGTGGCTGCTAAATGGGGCAAAACAAATATGGTTTCATTGCTTTTGGAGAAGGGAGCAAATATCGAAGCCAAAACCCGTGATGGCTTAACACCCCTTCACTGTGCTGCACGTTCGGGCCATGAACAAGTGGTTGATATGCTACTTGAACGTGGTGCTCCCATAAGCGCTAAAACTAAAAATGGTCTTGCCCCATTGCACATGGCTGCCCAGGGAGAACATGTGGATGCTGCTCGTATTCTACTGTATCATAGAGCACCGGTAGATGAAGTGACAGTCGATTATCTTACCGCATTACATGTAGCCGCTCACTGTGGACATGTGCGTGTAGCGAAATTGCTATTGGATCGCAATGCTGATGCCAACGCTAGGGCATTGAATGGATTTACTCCCCTGCACATTGCTTGCAAGAAGAATCGCATTAAGGTTGTAGAATTGTTGCTACGCCACGGAGCAAGCATTAGTGCGACAACAGAAAGCGGCTTGACACCGTTGCATGTTGCTGCCTTTATGGGATGTATGAACATTGTCATTTATTTATTACAACACGATGCTAGCCCGGATGTTCCAACTGTTCGCGGCGAAACACCATTGCATTTAGCTGCCAGAGCAAACCAGGTATGTCAAGGATATTACTTGCAACCGCTGTTCGTAGAGAACATTTATTCCAGTTAGAATTACACATTTCAAATAACGCGATCATCCTGATTTATCGAATTTTATTGCTTCTGTGTCTGTGGTTAAATCACATAATTTAATAATACCTTTTTGTCCATTCTCTTCTTTGTCAACAGACTGATATTATACGTATTTTATTGCGCAATGGTGCTCAAGTGGATGCGCGTGCACGTGAACAGCAAACTCCTCTTCATATTGCATCAAGATTGGGCAATGTTGATATTGTCATGCTATTGTTGCAACACGGTGCTCAAGTGGATGCCACCACCAAGGATATGTACACGGCTTTGCATATTGCCGCCAAGGAGGGCCAAGATGAGGTAAAACAATTAATTGCCAAAAAGATTATGGATCACATTGATACTGTATATTTGATGCAATTATTTTGGATACGCCATCAGGAGTATTTCATATAAATATTCAGAAAGTTGTTCAAATTCGTTAACCTATTTCAAGTTTTATGTCGTCGTTACATAAGTGTTGTTCTTTTCTCTCTGTTATTATTATTATTTATTTGTTTATTTATTTATTTATTTATTGATGGATTATTATTACTATTATTATTTGTAATAGTTTCTCTCTCTATCTCTCTCCCTTTCTTGATAAAACCACTGATAAATTTAACATCATACATATACATATATTTATTGTTGTTATCTTATAGTTGCACAGATTTTTGTTTATTTATTTATTTATTTGTTATTGCTGCAATTGTTGTTAACTTTTACAAAAGCAAAAAAGAAATTAAAAAGAAAATTTAAAATAAAAAGAAGATATTTTAATTTTCATTAGGTATTTTTATTTTAGTGTAATACACAAAAAAAAAACATTTTTCAATTTTGGTCCGCCTGCGGGAACAACGGCAGACCTATGTTTCTGGTAACGGGAATACAATTAAGTCTTTAGCAAGGATGAACTAGGAGACAAATTCTGTGGGGCTATCTTAAGACAAGAGCACATTTTCTGTAATCACTTATGTTGTAACATATTCTGATTGGGCGAAGGTGTAAATTAGCTTTATTTTTCTTTTCATTATGTATTGATACACTTATTTCACTAATACTAACACACACATCTTCATAACTACCACAAGTCAAGCAAACAGTCATCAATCAATAAAATCAACCAGAGACAAGATAATCAAAATATATCCAGTCCTGGCGTATTCCTTAGACACTTCTACTTCATACATGCAAATGACAAACCCGTTCTACATTTTAGGTGGCTGCTGTGCTGATTGAAAATGGCGCTGCATTAGATGCTGCCACTAAGAAGGGCTTTACCCCATTGCATTTAACTGCTAAATATGGTCACATCAAGGTCGCCCAGTTGCTGCTGCAAAAGGAGGCAGACGTTGATGCCCAAGGTAAGAACGGCGTGACACCGCTACATGTGGCCTGCCACTATGACAATCAGAATGTTGCCTTGTTGTTGCTGGAGAAAGGTGCTAGTCCCCATGCAACAGCCAAGAATGGGCACACTCCGTTGCATATAGCGGCTCGCAAGAATCAGATGGACATTGCTACAACACTGTTGGAATATGGCGCCCAAGCCAATGCGGAAAGCAAAGCTGGTTTCACTCCCCTGCACCTTAGCTGCCAGGAAGGACACACAGAAATCTCGAATCTGCTTATCGAACATAAGGCTGGCGTAAATCATCCAGCCAAAAACGGATTGACACCGATGCACCTGTGTGCCCAAGAGGACAATGTCAACGTTGCCGAAATACTGCAGCGCAATGGAGCCAACATTGATATGGCAACGAAGGCCGGTTACACACCACTACATGTTGCAGCACATTTCGGCCAGGCCAATATGGTGCGTTTCCTTTTGCAGCACGGCGCCAATGTCAATTCGGCCACTTCCATTGGCTATACACCATTGCATCAGAGTGCCCAGCAGGGACACTGCCACATTGTGAAGCTTCTTCTCGAGCATAACGCCGATGCCAATGCTCAAACTTCGAATGGCCAAACGCCCCTGGACATTGCCCGCAAATTGGGCTACATTAGCGTTTTGGATTCATTGAAATCGTATACCAATGATCCCGAGGGTTCCGCTCAAGTCCATTCCGATGAAAAGTATCGAGTCGTGGCCCCGGAGGCGATGCACGAATCCTTTATGTCCGATTCCGAAGAAGAAGGAGGTATGTATCTCAAAGGAGTGAACATGTCACACATTTTACATTTCTGTTATCATGGAACTTTGTTAATTAGATTTAGGGGAATGTAAAATTGCACCACATATTTTGTTCATTCCTTATTTAGTTTATTTGGCTCAAACTATGTTCACACATTCTCCAACATTATTACCATACTAAAACTTGCGAGCACACACAGACACACATAGACATATTTTCGAACAATGCTCCAACTCCAACTCCCAATCCTTGAACGTGACCATCCCTCCATTGTACATTGAATGGATGGATAGTCCCCCTCCAAACAAGAAGCCCTAAACCAAAACAGAATAAGAACACGAACCAACCAAAACATACTTCCCACTTGTGACACTTGAGCCGTTACTTGAAACTGTCCCTTCGTTTATAATTGTAAATTGTGATTTCTTGATTGTGTCATCTACATACTAACAACACATGCCAAATATAGGTGACACAAATGATTGGGATCCGTGTTTGGGCATTAAAAGTGACCGCCAAAAGAACGATAGCCACATTTATCTGCCATATTATCGCGGTGAATCACTGTTCTTGTCCTGTAAGTCTTAATCCTGTGAAAATGGGCTCCTCATTTTACTACCTGTATTCTCATATACCTGTTCATTCATATATACCTCTACCAATCTACATATTACCAACGTTCTAGATGTAATTGTATTGTAAACATCTTATGTATGTATGTATGTAGCCTTTTTATTCACGGCCTATGTTCAATTTACACAGAGAGAAAACAACTAATTTTTGTTTTTTTTTTATTTATTTTGTTTAAAAATCTAGTTATGTATATTGTGTTATCAGTTCAGAATATCGATATTTCGAGTATACGATATTTCGAATTTTCAGGAGAGCAAGATATCCGCTAAAGTCGAACGTTTAATACTCATAATACTTGTTAATATAGTTTGTGTTATTTTTTCAAAGGCCTTGCCAAATCTTTACAAAAAAGAGTTAAGTCAGTTTTACAGAAACGGTTTACATTTCATAAAACAGGTTTTTAATTTCGATTGTTTTTGCGAATTCCGACAACGTGATATCAATAACTCAAAATTGGCATGAGTTGAAAGTCGTTAAGTCGTTTTAACTTCCATAATAATACAGTCAGTAACTCGCTCTATGGTAACGTCAATGTACTAAGACATCGCGGTAGTAAAAGTAATTTAACCTGTCAACACTAAATGGTTGGTTTTCAGAAGTCTACCTGAATAGATTAAAATCTCAATAATTTTTGCTATGAGAAGTAAGTAATGTATTTAGGGTTAACCTTCGTTTCAATATAACCTCGCAATCAGCAGTAGTCTACTTTGACACAAAATGACGCCTGGCTTTATTTTTATGAGATTTTTGTCATCATTATGTAGAAAATCCCAGAGCGACAGTGTGAAAATTTAAAACCACTGCAGATATCGCTTGTTTGGACCTTTGTAAAGGTCAATTACTTTGTGAAAATACAAGTTGTTAACATATTTGATGCTCAGGGTAAATGACGGTAAGCACCCTGAAAGTAGAAAGTAAATGTACATTTTCTTTTTTTTTTTTTTTAAATATGGCCTAGTTCTTCTTTTTTTATTTTAAGAAATATGTTTGATGTTTTTCGTTCTTATCATATATAAAAAAATAGAATATTTTAAGGTTGGCCTCTTCTCGATCTTTGGCGTATTCATTATCCTTTCCGGTTGTGTGAATATCCAATGAATTTTTTGCGAACACATCAATTGTTTGCAAATTTAACAAATAAAGTTTAGAAACATTTCGGTTTTTAATAGATTCGTACAATAGGTTGTGCCAGTATTAATGAGCATGAAGATTAAAGCTTAAAATTAATAAGAGTGTATTAAATTTAACCGAGTGACAAATACAAATATTGTTTTTCATATTTTACACATATGGGATATCGTTGAAATGGGTTGAAACAATCCGTGAATAAGAAAGAACTCTGTTCCCTATTTTTGACAAAACTGAACGTTAAAACTAAAAGCAAGAACTATTTCTAACGGTTATATCTAGGAAACTAGTTCAATATTCCCTTAGACCAAGAATGAGGAAAGCTCGTGTAAATCTTACAAAGTGTCTGTAGGTTAAACCTGCTCAAACAATTAAAAATTTAGTAGCCTATTTTAAGTTTTGCCTAATTTTTTGCAAACGAAAAATCTTTGTTTAAGAAACAAAAGTTAAAATGGCTCATCGTCAGAAAGGTCTTCCCCTTTCTTGTCAAAATGACTTCAGATTTCTTATCTTTCCCTTAATTTAATTTTACTGGCATTACAGCTTAGATTTTTATTATTAGCATGGCTATTTTTGGGCATGGCTGTTCATATATATTCATATATATGTACAAACTCTTTTCTGTGTGTAAAAATACATACATACATTTGGTGGTCTGTTTTCGGCAAACCGGAGACAGAATTCTTTTTGAATCTTGTAAATACAAATTGTGTTTTTACTGCCCCCATTTGCCAATGTTTTAGTGCTCCCTACAAAATGATTCGTACTAGATAATTATATCCACAACACCGCTTCAATCTGTTCATCTTATTATCTTATAATTTTATATTTGTATCAAATTAATGTGGCCGATGACCTTCTGTATATTTTAAATGAAATGGATGAGATTCAACGTCACTATGAAACAATAGTTGGCATTATTAAAAATGGATATCCAAATGTGATTACATATGGGATCCATTTTTATAAATTAAAAAAGAGGATTTTCAATATCTTAATTTTTTTAAGGATGCGTGACCATCGGTAACTTTTGCCACATCACATTGAGTCTTTTGTATGTCCACAATCCACGATTACCCATTTCAATCTTTTACAAATCCCGTTTAGATTTTAAAGTAAATTAAATAAAATAGCCAAAAACAACTGCCGGTATAAACACATTTATTATTATTTTAAAACTGTGACTTGTAAATACGTCCTAATAATAGCAATATAATGTTTTCTATATATATATATATATGTATCTGTGTGTGTGTATCATACAATTTTGAACGATGGTCTGAAATCAAATCATTTTCTTTAAATTGGTTAATAACTTGGATTGATAAGTGGTTATGTGAAAATGCGAATAAAATGTATTCAAAATAAGCTAAGCGAACCAACGAATAATTTGCATCGAAAAAATGACATACTGATTTGATTTCAATAAATTTTTATTAAACAAATAATTATTATTATATAACAATAAAAATAAAATTATGGGAAACAAACAATGGTCGCTATAAGTTTATGCATGAGATTTGATTTATACGTATGTATGAATGTATATATACATATACCATATATGTCATTGTCAAATTTAGAAATCAACAACCAAACCGAAACCGAAACCCTAACTCATTCATCATTTTTGTATGTACTTTCAAATATCTCACTGCACATTACCATCATCCAACTCTGCTGTGTTGAATCAAACAAACAATCAATCGATCGAACAAATTGGAATGCTACAAATCGCTAAAACAAACACTACAACCACCAAAATATACCACTGCCCAAATATGTCGCCAATGCTACTCGCTAATGTTTCCATCGATCAGGCGAAGATAATATGCTTTCCGACCAACCTTATCGCTATCTGACAGTTGATGAAATGAAATCCCTAGGAGATGATTCTCTGCCCATTGACGTGACACGCGATGAGCGTGTGGACTCGAATCGAATGGCCCAGAGTGCTGAATACACCAACGCTGGACTGCAACAACAGCAGCAACAACCGCAACCGGCTGTAGAGAGTGCCATAAGTCCCCAGAAGGCACAAACCTACAACGCTGTCCACACGAAAACGATGCGTGATGGAGGCATTTACATATCCAACGATATGTTGAATGGCGATGATCACCAACACGAGGGGTAAGTTAGATGTCTCCACAATTCTCCACAATGTTGTTTGTTTTTGTTTCCCCTTCTTGTTTTGGAGTTTTCCATATCTTGCGTTTCTTAAGTTCATTACAATCGTTCAGAACGACTGCAAACTAATATGCTAATTTCATACATGTGTATATTTTCCAAACTTTTTTCTTGAAATGCATAGACGTAAATTACAGTGGAAGAGGTTTGTTTATTGTCTGGTTAAGCTCAGAGTGTAGATGCTAAATACTGATGATTTTTCATTTGACTGTTTCAGTTTCTTGGTTTCCTTTTTGGTTGATGCACGCGGTGGTGCTATGCGAGGCTGTCGTCACAGTGGTGTTCGCATGATCATACCATCGCGTTCGACAGCCCAACCAACGCGTGTCACTTGTCGCTACGTCAAACCGCAGCGCACAATGCACCCTCCTCAGCTGATGGAGGGGGAGGCCTTAGCAAGCCGCGTACTCGAATTGGGCCCAGTATCTACGAAGTTTATTGGCCCTGTCATTATGGAAGTTCCCCATTTCGCCTCGTTGCGTGGCAAAGAACGTGAAATCATAATTTTGCGTTCGGACAATGGCGAAACATGGCGTGAACATACTATTGAGAATTCCGAAGAAATTATCCATGATGTGCTGCAACAGTGCTTCGAGCCGGAAGGTATGCATTGAAAAAAAAAAACGCACTTGGATGTGCACTAATATTTATTTCACTCTCTCTCTCCCTCTCTCTCTCCCAGAAATCGCCCAACTTGAAGAACAGGCTGGAAATCATGTATGCCGATTTGTGACATACGATTTTCCACAATACTTTGCTGTTGTGACTCGTATACGCCAGGAAGTACACGCTATCGGACCCGAAGGTGGAATGGTGTCTAGCACGGTGGTGCCCCAGGTGCAGGCCGTATTCCCGCAAGGAGCTCTAACTAAAAAGATTAAAGTTGGCTTACAGGTAAATCTTTTTAAACCTCGCAAGGGTGTTGCGCCGGAAAAATTACGTAAAATTAGCGTTAATCATGTACCAAAGAAGAAGCGTTTTTCCCTTATTTGGTAAAGAAAATGGAGCAACACATAGTATTATTATGAACATGTGGTGCTTGAACCATTTAAAGTCCAAAAATTATAAGCTTATTTAACATCAATCTGCAAGTACTTATAAAATATGATTATTACATATTCAACATTCAGACAATAGCAGTATATAAATCATTAGCGTGCTACTACTTTACTTAGAAGCGTTTACATTTTACGTTCCATTCGAAACAAATCTTGGCATTTGGAGTTTCATGCTGTGCATCTTTGAATCAAATTATTTGTTTGCACAGCACTGTACTGCATTTATTAAGTGAAGTTAAAACACTTCGATTTGTTTCCATTGCTAACCGAGAAATGTATTCTCACAATAAATAATTTTTCAAAATGGATGTAAGTGATTATTATGGAAAAGTGAAAACTCAACACAAAGTATGTAATATTTTTAAATTGTATTCGATTTATAAAGTCTATCTATCTATCAACTACTTGTGGACAATAATAACTGCATATTCAGTATCTGTGCGGTATTCAATGACTACCTTGTTGTTAACACGTTTAAGTTTTAATGATTCTGAAGAAGGTTGATATTCAAATTCATATCCAAGTTATATTCTACATTTATTTTGTCACTTCCGACAATTCTAACTCCTGATAATCCATACATATTTTATAACTGCTCCAGATGTCAAGATATTTAGTAGCCATAAAATGTAAATTCATACAAGAATTTCCTTAAAAAAACTAGACATTTCTTGCAATTTCCTGCTACCAATACTCTATTCCCAATGGCAAATATGAAATAACAATAACAAATAATTGATATGGAAACTATACAATAAATTTATGCACAAATATATGACTCAGAACGTATCTTATATAAGTTAATTTAACTCCAAAATCTAACAAACAATAACAAATGATCATGGATCGATTAAAATAGATTGCTATAAACTGTGAAAAAAATAATAAAATCCAAAATACTCAAATATCAGGAAAATATTTTCCAAAACATGAACAATACTAATAAAGAACAGAAATCATCTGGCGCGTCTGAATCTCTTCTGAATATGATTACAATTACTACTACTACTTCTACTATTATTATTATTATTAAAAACTAAAACAAATAATGTAACCCTTTTACTTAACACAACAACAAATATTAACCAACTATGAAACCCAATAAATTTAGTTACAAATAAAAAAGCAATACCAAATTTCGAATGTTCTGATTTGTTTGTTTCGTTCCGTTCCGTTCGACTAAAGAAAAATGCATATTTGTTCCAATAATTTCAACTTCCAATTTGGGATTTATTTTTGGAATTCCGAACATGGGATATTTGTCCACAAATATTTGTGAACAAGACTTAGGGTCTGGTGAAATGGAAGTGCCTTCATTTGGAATGCTTAATACAGAAAGAAAATGATTTTTCAATGGCCCCAGTTTATGTAGGATATCACACATACATACATGTTTATATTTATAAATTTAAATTTGGAATAATAATTTTAATTATTGTTTCCATTTCTATTTCTATTTCGATTTTGTGTTTTGTTTTTATTTCTCTCTTAAGTTTCTTTCTTTTCCCTTCTTGGAGAAACCACAATTTTTATGCATTTTTCTTTGATTTTAATTTATCAATATAGTCTTCATCGTTTTAATTTTCATTATATCATATTGAAGTAGTTGAAATTTATTTGTTTGATAACTAAATTTATTGGGAAATAAAATGGTGTTGAACATTTTTGTTGGGTCGAAAGTCTAACCCAAACTAGTGGTATTATTAATATGTTTACAACTATAAAAAGCTTGAGATGTATAAAATGTTCATCGCCATTTAATTTCTACCGACAGATCAGAAAGTATGTACCTTATATTTAATTAAAAAAATAGCCCCGCTGTATTTATACTAATCCTTCTAATCTAAGTAACAAAATAACACAAAGAATTAACACATACTTATTGCTTGTAAGCGTGTTAAAATTTGATTCAATATTTAAGGTTTAACTATAATACCATTTAGATGTAAATTGGATGCGTTACTCTTTTAAGTGTTACATACACGGTCATAGATTGAAATAGAAAAAAAAAAAATCATTTCAAAATCAACAACTTTTTGCGTTCCCAAATTACTAGTCTTTTGAAATACTTCACACTTAATTGTTGAAGTATCTATTTATTATTAAGAGTTTTGTTTATGATTTTATTACTTTTGTATTATTGATATGACAGCAAAATTTTTATGTATTTGTTACATTTATATATAAAATATAAATTTGAAGGCCCTATTAATTAAAAAAAGAAGAAAAATCATTTTTTCTAAGTATTCAGCTCCAAATGATGTGAATTCTTTCTTTATTTCATTTCATGCAATAGGCACAACCAGTTGATCCAGACTTAACTGCAAAACTTTTAGGGCGTGGGGTTGCAGTATCGCCTATAGTTACTGTCGAACCACGTCGCCGTAAATTCCACAAGGCTATAACATTAAGTATGCCTGCACCGAAAGCTCACAGCCAGGGCATGATAAATCAATATTCGGGCAATACACCAACTCTTCGGCTGCTGTGCTCCATTACCGGTAAGTACTATTAGTTGCCTATTTCCTAGATCAAATTATCCTCCTACTTTGTACACCTTTGTTTTCATTTCTTTTTGTTTGTTTTCATTTCGAGTAACTCTTTTGTTATATTCCTTCTTTTTTTTTGGAAAGTCTAAGGACACTCTGCATTTAGTTTTTGACCATAAAATCTTTTGCGGACGAGAGCAACTGAAAATATGAGGAAGGCAAGGGAGAGTGGAAGATCTTTTAATCGTTAAAAGTTACAAGCCACACTTGGAAGTTTGAGTTCGCCAGTTAGCTCGTATAAGATATCGGCATGATTTAGCTTCCAAATAAATAAATTTCAAATTATATAAGTAACACATAAAGTCCAATGCGGATTCTAAAATTCTAGTAACAATTGTCAATGGGCTTTTGAAATGATTGAATTGAAGGCCGAATTTTTCATAACTATAAATGAAAATATTATATTTATGCATTATTTTTCACTTGATCCCGTCCGAAAAATATGTTCGTGTTGCCCATTATGATAAGCAAAAAATCAATATACTTAAAAAACACACCCAAACATAGCTCTTGGACCACAATCAGAATGAAGAACTATGAAGAAAAGAAAACAAATTATTTCCTAAAAAATACTATTTCCAATAACAGTACAGAATAATAATAATATTAGGAATTGTTTTCGTTTGAATTAATATCTTTTTTTCAACGTATTATTTTGCCTCTTTGTTTTATTAATTTATTTGATGTTTTTATTATTTTTCTATTTTTTGAGTTATTTATTAACAAGAAGTTTTAATTCAAAATATTTGTTTAGCCAAATAGATAATTAGCAGAACAGTTTCCAATATTATTAATTTTTTTTTGTCATACTCATAGTGGACAGTATTGCAGTAAGATAGATAAATACATACATATATGTATTGAAGTATTTAATTTTTAAATGTAGAATAGTAACATAGGCATTATGCATCTGGGATCATTGCCATCACCGAACCGAAATCCCAAGTGATTGCAATGATGTTTGCATTTTGTCTACATTGGCATTTTGACCTTATTATTCCTCACGTTGAATCATTATAAAATAATGTTGCAGGCATAGAAGTATGACTGAAAATTATAGATCTATCTATATTTATATATTGATACAAATTTACTGAGATCATTTTTATTAGTACATACACAACTATATACATACATACATAGTAATATATCTACAATTCGATAGCAATCTTTATTCAACTGAAGTATTTTTCATTACAATATGTGATATGCTTTTACGTACGTACATACATGCATACATACATCTAATCATATCTAATCATATACTAATATGTAACATCACCGAGTACTTTTTTTCTCCTTTTTAACTGTTTGTTGGTTGTTAAAGAAGCTATTCCATTTCCATTCCCCCATTGTAACTACATGATCTGTCATTTTTATTAGAATTGTATCTGTATGTATGTCAATATTTATATATGAATTTTTATTATTCAACTAGAATAGTGTCAATGTAAAAATATTTGAGAAAAATCAACGTCGCCATCATTAATGTTTTTCCCCCCATCACCATTTCTCCCCTCAAACAAAGTTCATTCTATACGATCCATGTGTACATTCAAATCTCCCTTTCATCCGTTCGACATGGCCTAACCACTCATTAAACTGAAATTCCATATATATATATATATTATTTTTTTTAAATTTTGAGGTTTTCACAATGTATTGAAAACAGTACATTTTAAAGTGAAATAATAGACGAGACAAACATGCTTTGTCACGTGAGTGAATGTTTTGTGGATGCATATCTTGATTACAGGGTGCCACGACTTTTTAAAGCTAATTTAAGTAATACTCTTCGAATCGATAACCATCATTTAAATATTGAATCTACAATATTTATGTTAGTTTTGAGTGGGGTCATCGTTTAATTTATTATTGTTTGTCACAAGTAAACACTTTAGAATAAACAAAGCTTCTTCAGAAACATAAAATGATGGGGTTGTACAAAATAAATTCAAATCAAATGTAATAAATTATAAAGGATATATGATACCGGCTCTGCCGTCGGCTTTCTGATTGACCAAGCGGTCGTTCATAGAAAATGTTCAGCAACCTGCTATTACATAATTTTTGCAACACGACACAGCCACCTTCCCTTCCGGAGACTGCGCCTCAAAGTTTTTTCTCCCGAAGCCTTTGCCCGTTGTGCTCTCAACAGGTCTGGGATTTGTTTTTTTATTAGAATTGGCTTAGCAGTGATTGCTTGTAGGAGAAACCACAGCCAAAGCAATATACCGGGTAGATTGAACACTTTTCCGGCAGTCGAAACAATTTCTGCCTTAAGATTGCCAATTTCATCACAGTTACGTCCTAATAGTTTTCCATGTTAGTTAAGGATAGATTGTTACAAATATCATTCGGGATGCTCTCGTGGATCGGTAACAGTTAAGACTTAAGATCACTGCACTGTCATTGTCCCATATGATCTTTATATTCACAAGAACATGACAAGTATGTCTACTACGTGTAGTGGCGGCCAGTCCACACAACACAATCTAGACACCCACATTGATCGAAATACCAATGGATCACGGTTATTTGGCATCGAGACTCCTCCAAAAGCTAAAGCTTCGTGAAGCATATCCATATGTTTGCATCCGCTAAGGCTTTTAAGTTTTTTTAGAAGGGCGCAGCAAAAATGTGTGTGCTACATGAATAAGCCATTACAACGTAATCAAACAAAATACAAACACACTAATTTCTGCATTACCAACAGTTTGAAAATAAAATATACATGAACGACTTTATGTTAATCATTACCTGACGCATCGTCAGCAATCGAAAAATAGAAGACAAATAAAAAAATATGATGGGTTGTTGATGTGAGACTTTAAACAACTGCTTATGTTCGAGACATCAGCGGACAAAACTATTATTATAGCTAAATATTTCGAGTGACATACAGTGGTAAAAATAATTTATTAGTAGGTTGACTTGTATGTAGTTACGACTTCCAAAAATTGTTTTTTTTTTTTGCCCGGGAGATCCTGCCAAACCTTTTCACTTATTTCATGGAAAATTCAAAACTAAGTCCACCTTAATATGTTTGAAAGATGTATATATAATGATTAAATGATCTAGTAAGAACTTGATAATATCGGGCAAGGAGGAAGAAAGGGGGAGGGTGGGTATTATACAGTTACGTGTCTTCATTATATGATTGATTGAAGATCGTTTTACTTGAATATATATTGTTTTTTTTTTTTTTCACCTATATACTTACCTACATAATAAGTACATACTTTATAATCTTTGTATTGGTGTAAAGTGTTTTTTCGGTTTTATGTGTTCTTCATACCACTTACCATACCAGACAAATCATAGACACACACGTACATACTACATACTAATATACATATATGCCATAAACACACACCCACAACCACACACATACATCAAAGAATGTATGGGTGTGTATGAAATGCGAAACGTCTGTACGCGTGAGTGTTTGAAGATGTCCAACAACAACAGCAACAACAGTGTATAAATACATGTCATTTACCTACATATATATATGGATATGATTTTGAAAATTTATTTCCGTTTTGTTTAGTTTTCATTATTATTTTTTGTGTTTGTTGTATTTTAGTTGTTGTTGTTTTTTTCTGTTCTGTTTTGTTTCCTTTTCATTCTTTCGGTTTGATTTGTTTTATTTTTTACGTGTGTGTTTGTATTTGTTACTATGATAGATTAAAACAACAACCAACCAACCAACAAAAACTTAACTGATTATTAAAATCCGTTTACGATTTTTTTCGTACTGATGCGATTCAATGCATTTTGTGCACGCATTCCGTTCCATTCTGTTAAAATTTCATCATAATGAAGGTGTGTTTCGGAAAAGATCTCTAAAAGGTAATTAGACAACATCATCAACAACAACAACAAACTACATTCAACAATTACAATTGAAATTTACGGATCGATTACGATTTGCAACCGATCTTTTAATGGAATGGCCAAGTGATGTTTCATCATCTGGCACTCCGAAAGAAGTTCGGTCGGCAAACAACAATAATCGATTAACAAAATCAAATTCTGACAAAAAACAGCAAAATGTTTAATTGAGCAAAAAGATTAAAAAAAAGAAATTCTAAAATCCAATCAACAATAAACCCCCTTTTTGTTTTCTTAATTTTATGTTTCGTTATGAAATTTTTTTGTTTTTATGCTGCAAAAAAAAAATTAAGAAAGGACAATGGCAATTCTGCATTTGTTTAAAACTAAAAATAATATATCAGCGAAATACTGTTGCAAAAGTTACAAATTCGCAGAAAGTAAAACTAAAATAAGTTCTTTTCATAAAAAATAATTGTACTCTTAAAATATTAACGAAAAATCATAATAAATATATTCTATTTCATTTAATACAGTACAATAAATAAATAAATAAATAAATAACTTTACTATTCTACTTAATATGCTTTGAAGCAAAGTTTTCTTTTTTTACCATAACAGAAGACGTTCCTTTGATTTGTTAATTTCGGCCTTATTTATTTCTTTTTAATGTTAACGTTTGTTAAATTAATTTGATTTCACCATTTGAGTATTTTTTATGTTTTGATTTGGCAATTCTTGATTAAATGGAATCAATAAATTGATCATTTAGAAAAACAAATCAGGAAAAAAAAAGAAAAATTACTTGGTAAATAGAAAGGCACAAAGGAAAACAATTACCATTCCCTTTTCCACAAGGAAGTACCCTATTGAAATGGACCCTTTTAACTTGCAATTTTGAAACAATCACGCCTCTCAACCCGTGGCTCGTTACTTTTTTTTTTTTTAAGAATTGTCTCATTATTGGTCGTTTTTCTAATGATGGTCGCTTTTGAGTTGAATTATATTTGCTTTAGGGCAAAAGATTATTCATTTCGATAAATAAATCAATTTACATTTACATATGTACAGGGTGAGATAAAAAACTGTAACAAAGTCAAACGCCATAATTTGTACATTTTTTTAATTTTATTGAATGAAAAGCAAATTTGTTCGAATTATGGCCTACAAACGGCCAATGAAACCGTCACACGCCGCTCGAATTTGGCTCTGCGGTATTTTGACCATTCCCGGCGAAGCGCTTGTTTTAGTATTTTTTAGTGTCAACCTTGCTTTTCAAAATATTCCAGGCACAATAGTCCAACGGATTGGTATCCGGAGATTTTGGTGGCCATTGTGCGCTGGAAATGAAGCGAGGAACTTCATTTTGTAACCATTCTTGGGAGGCGTGTGCTGAGTCCTGTTGGAATGTCCAAGGTCTGCGGCCAAAATGTTTGCGTGCCCAAGGCTTTTATACACCCTCCAGAATATTTGCGCGATAATATTCGGCATTTATTCTGATGGCACATTTATTCTGATGGCATGTTTTCTCATCGGAGAAAACCAAATTCTGCAGTTCGCCACTTTCGGCGACTCTTTAGCTCTTTTGAGTCTATTTTCTTTCTGTTGCAGTGTAAGTTCTTGCACTTTTTGGAATTTCAATGGCTTTACCCCGAGCTCATTTTTCAATATTCGCCGAATGGAACGAGCCATTTTCGGCCACTGCGACGCGGGTTTCGATGAAGTCGCATCTTTACTTTTCGAACCATTTCTGCTGATGTTGCTGTTTTCTTCTGTCCACTTCCATGACGTAGGGCTACGCTACCAGTATCACGGTAAAGAGAGAGGGTACGAGACACAAAAGATTTATTCACATTTAAATGCTGGAGTGCTCTAACGATAGCCACTTGTGGTTTTCCAGCCAAATATAAAGAAATTACACTATCACACTTGAATTCCACCACGAGTCACTTTTTGTCTGGAAAATTCTCACCAAAATACTTTTGTACGCTTGTAAGCAATATAATGAGCTGTCACTGGAATAATTTTAACAGCTGTCGGATGAGTGGCTTAGAATTAACAGCAGTCTGAAGTTGGTTGCAGTTTTTTCATCTCACCCTGTATAGTATGTTTGCAGTTTACCAGATTTAGTAAGGTTGAGGTGCACAGGGCAGGTTGTCCCAGCAAAAGCCCTAAAGTAAACATACTATTAGATTGCCCTGCTTCCAAATTTGTTTTACATACTTAAGCTATAAAGCAAAAATGATATTCATAGAAGAAAATATTTTTGCTGAAAACGCAAGGACCTAGTTCAATAAAAGGTCCCAACCAATTGTTTTCCCATTGTGCCTTTATTTTTGCCAAACAGATAAAACCTCTTGATTGAATTTGTAAATACATAGTTTCAGTTGGGCAGATGGCTTAGAAAGTAATCCAAGTTTTCAAGCCAGTTCTCATATATTGTTTCATTGTTCCCTCGAAATTAAACATTGCAACATTCGAAACTTTGTTTGGATTTTTTTCGTTTTGAGTACACAACAATCTGTAAAATAACACAAACATTTTAAAATTAATATCAGCACAAGCAACTTGTTAACTTATTTTTGTAACTAAATTCGAATACGAAAGAGTTCTTCTTTGGGCCTAACATTCCACCTTGTTCGCCCTATTAAATGAAAACACAACACACACCCGCAGAACATCAGAATAATTGCAATTATCTGTTTCTTACTTTATAACTTTATAACTTTGTCTGATTGTTTGTTTATGTCATTTTTGTTGATTCCCGATTTGTTTTACTCTTTTTGGTATTGTTTTATTCTTTTCCTCTTAAGTTTTCTCTACAAGATTTTTTGCCAACAGATTATTCTTTTTTATTTCAATTCAATTCTTTGACTGAGAAGACTTGATACTTAGAAAAAGAGTATAAATTATAACAAAAAAATTGTAATGCAGAATTCTATGGAATTTTTTATCAATTCATGAATGTGAAAAAAAAAACAGCAACAACGATTACTTAAATATTCAATCCAATCAATATTCGTTTACCAGTCTTCGCTTTTGAGAGAACAAGCTTAAAATATCGAAAAAGAGTATTAGTTTTTTTATTATGAGTATACTTTTGTTTTTGTTTATTAACATCCTTGTTTCTTTGTGGCCCCAAAGAGAACTTTTCTGAAACAAAACATCTTTCTGAAATTCGTACGACTGTTTTCGAACATAAATGCTAACATTCTTTTCGGTTTAACGCCTATTTTCATTTCGATTGTTTTAGGTTTGATTAGTTTCGATACAAGTAAAAAATCTAATTTCTAATTTCTCCTTCTCTTCTTGTTATTCACCTACATTTTTTATTGTTTCATATTTGATTTTTTTCTATCACAACATTATTACAACTAACCACTAAAATAACAAATAGTATTTTTACTAATTATCTACATAAATACTCGTATTGTTACTTATATATACATACACATACATTTACACACTTGAATTTTCTACGCATGCTCTTTTTCCCAATACCTTTGCAGTTCTTTCTTAATGTGCTATTGAAAAAAAAAAAAAAAAACAGAATATAAAACATAACTAGCTTTACATTTCAATATAAAACCATATATATAAAAGTAATAATTAATTATATTAGAAAGAAACTATATCTATGTCAAGTTTAAAAAATCATATTCAATCACAATAACTATATCTAGTGTTGTTGTTCTCTCTATAAGTTCGTTGTTCTGAAACGTGGGTGTTACACAAAAATGTAGAATTTTGAATTTGATGTGCATTCACGGTAGGACCACAAGAAGCCTATATACCTCACAGGGCTCTATACTCCTGTGTGAGCTTTTATGTTCGGCTTTTTCGCAATAAAACGGTTATAGCAGCATCTTGGATTTAGCCACCAAGTCTTCTAGTCTTAGGAAAATATTTACTTTGTATCGACAACATAATCAACTCTGTCACGAAGAAAATCCTTTATTAATATCCTAGCTTGCATTTTGTATCGTATCGAATCGCTTTAACTACAATTGATCCGAATCTGCTTACACTTACAAAATGTCAACTTTGTGATTGAAAACTATTTTTGTGTCCGAAAAACTAGTAAAACGTTTAATGTTAATTTAGAGAATGAGACCAAGAGGTCGCTAAGGTGTGTGTGTTTTTTTTTAACTTAAAAATATAAAGTAGTAGCAAAAGGATAAATGCGAATAGATGATTGTTTTGACATATTTACTAGTTTCCCGTTTTTGTAAAAGAAATTATTTCTCGTTTCGATACGGAAAAGTCCTTACGTGTTTTCAGGTGGAAATTCGTAAAGCGCTTATTTGGCTGGCTTAAGTCATCGGCTGGCTTCTTCTTTCCACCTTTACGAAGATTCGTCATTATATACGATATACAATTTAAACAAAAACACCATTTACGAATACATGTTCGGTTAAATAAGGCGCTACTCTTGACGATTTCAGCGGCATTGACGGAAATACTATCGTTTGACGGCTTTCCGGGAAGTACACATTTTAACATCTTATTTGAAATTTGTATTTGTTGTTTTATATGAGGGCACAAATATAATGCGAAATTAATTTTAAATTACAAATAACCAAGAAAAAAAATTATCGTCTTTTTCGATTGTAGCGGTTTTACATTTTTTTTTAAGCGATACTTCAAAAAGTGTTACTTTTAGTTTATGAAATATTGAGTTGTTTAGCCTTATTTACACCAAACTTGTTCTCATAAAGCATTTTATTTAGATTGTCCATTCCGTAGATAATGCGCTAAGGAAGTTTCGTATCTTCGTAGGACTAGTAATTTAGGTTTTGGTGTAAGGCTGACTTTTGAGTAGACATTCACAAGTGTTTAGAGTCATACATCGACTAGGAGTCAGTTGATGATAACCTAATTAGATATTTGTCGATTTGATAGAGAATGCCATCTTTTGATGTCCATGGCAAAAGAATGTCTCATTTTCATAAGCAATGGTAATTAATGTCTTCACTTAAAAATCACCCTAATTACATAAATCGTGACGTCAGAAGAAAATCTTTGACTTAATTTAACACTTGATGTGTTAACTTGGTTTAGATGAAGCTAATCAAAATGTATACCGTCAAAAGTCTTAAAGTGTTCACATTCGTTTTTCACTCATCTTGCATTTGTGGTTAATGACAGAGTCGTCAAGTCTGTCACAAATTTGTTGCTGTATTATGCGTTTCGGAATGTGAATTAACAAAGGGCTATTTTAAAGCTACACAGTTTGAAAGACATACTCTATTTTGCTATTTGACCTTTTTTTAATATCTCGCTGTCTAAAAATGCAAAAAGCATTACAATCGCCTATTGATAGCTTAATTTTTGTTATGCTTTGGCTTGACTGGAAAAAGAAAAATACACAAGCACATTATAAAGAAAAATTTCAGACACTCATGATCCCTAACACCACCAATCAACAACAAATATTATTCGAAAATCATTCATATACATACATTTATATAGAGTTGACATATATGTGGTACAATTGTTAAGGTAAGATCAAGGATTAAGGCTCAAGTGTTTTATAAACTGGATGCATAGGTTTTCAAATGAACCATTCGGAACCCATTCTATGGGCCCAATTGGCAGTCAAATTCACTCCTCCATGTAAAACATAGAAAAAACTTGGCAAAAAGAAGCCATTTCGCAGGTGGCTCGTAAAAGACTAACAAAAATACGATGCTGAGTTTCAGTGACAATTTAACAATACATAGCATCAGTTTGATTCCTAACATACTTTCAAAAAAGTTTTTTCAAAAAGCATAGCAAATTTCCAATTTTCGCGAACTAAGTGCATTCGTTCTACGACCACTCACATATGTCCTTTAGTTATGCTAGGCGTAAAAAAATTGTAAAAAAAATATTTATTTTATAAAAATAATTAAAAATTATAAAAACAATCTTTATTTGTAAAACATTCTCTTCGAGAGTGTCGACAGTCTCAGTTCTCTTCGGCAGCAGTGACGTTGAACATCATGTTTTTTTTTGCACTTTTAAATCAAGAATATTACCTCAAGTTGTGCGAAATTTTGCGAGTAGCAAACCACCGAAAAATGCGCGCTCAAAAACATGAGCATCGTTGATGGTGTTGAAATTGTTGACATGCCACATCCACACTGCCTTTTTGTTCTCAAAACACGGAGATAAAAACCGCATCGAAATGGGAGCTGAACAAGAGCTCTAACAGTTGCTTCTTGAAAATGTGAGGATGTGTGCTATATCTGGGGACGATCGTTTGACAAGAATAAGTAAATACTTCTGAGGAAATACAAAACTCACGATACTTTTTGAACGACCTCGTTCGAAACTTGCCAAAATAAGTTACAAGCAAGTGAGTGTGTGTGTTTTTTTTATTAAAATATGTATTTGACTAAATTCCCGCTCAAATATGCACTAATACATAAATATTATTTTCCATATCCAGTTTAAGATTTTTTGCAACGACTATTTGAAATTATTGAAGGACTCGATTAAAAGTTTAAATACAATATGACAAGCAGATATGGTGTTTATAAAGACACTTTCAACAATAGATAGTATCAACGCTTTTCAAGGCTGCATTACTACATTTAATGCATGTCTATGAAGTTATAGAAAACAGAATTTTTTGAATTCGCATAAGTCTACCATAAAAATTGTATTCGCTCATAAACTGAAAAAGAAGATCACTCATTTTATAGCAACGTTTTATTTAGCTTCATCTTATATGAAGCCTACTTTTAGTCAATATCTTGAAAGTTCTCAATATATTTCCAATCGAAAGTAATTAATTCAAATTTTTATTATCAAATTCCGAGCGTCAACGCGGGCTATTTAACGGTCTTACCAAAATGGTTGTATTGTATCCTCACCTTTATTAAGTATTTTGTACGGCCGTATTATCCTAACACGCATTGAACTAAAAGTTCAAATTAAAAGTTCAAAGCTTAATTTGCAGCTTTCTTTGTTCATACGCAATGCGTATTTTGATATAATTAATTGAAAAGCATGTATTTACCTTTTGTGGTGAATAAAATACCTTTATGCGCACGCAAGCGTTTTGGTAAAGGCCTAATATTACATTCATTTAAATCATTGATGTTCAAAACTGCCCAAAAATGTACGTTAGTGACACTGGTTACATGCGTATTCTCTTTTCTCTCATTCCGTCAGCGATTTTGATGTTGAATTCTCAGTTACGCCCATACTCCCACTCTCAATTTAAGTATGCCCATCATTGATTTAAAATTTAAATCATTTAAATTAAATGTAATCAACTTTGCCGAAAAACATGGCGAGCGAATTTCATTTCGATCATATTGCGACTTCTATGAAGTGCTCTACATAACAAATGACTCATTAGTTTAATTTCAAATATGAATAGTTCAAATATGACCACAAATTTACATATGGCCTGGCGAGGCTTTGGTTTCTAAATCTTCAAATAATTTACAATAATATCAACTGATAGAATGTATGGTACAGTTAAATAGCTTAGCCAACATGAATGACAGCCATGATATTAGGTTGGCTAAGAATCGCATCGGTTATTTTATTATTTTTCTACAGATAAAATGTAATGCAAACGAAATAAACCTACGCCTCGTACTTTAAATAAGCACACCTACTCTCACTCACACACACAAACACACTGAATAAGTACAAAATACAGTCAACTAACTGAATGAAAGAGAAACAGACAAACAAACAAATAACTTAATCAAACGTTGAGTTGATCTTTGTAAATAGTTATTAAAAATAAATAATAAAACTCCATTTAGCACTTGGCCGGATCTACCACAATGCATATTGTACCTCATTTAAACTATTTGCAAAATACGTACATACATACATACTTATTAAATAACGTGCATAGAATATTATTTAAATATTTAGCATTTCTTTTATTGTTACTTAATTTAATTGTTTTTATTTTTATATTAATTTAAATTTTTTCTATATTTATTTTACACTTTCAAGTTTTTGTTGGTTTACGTTGATTGAATTAAGTATAGATCTAAATTTATGAAAAATCAAAATAATACCAATCAAATTTATTACAATTTGTAAAATCGAAATCTACACAAAAAGTAGAAACTTAAATTTATTTATTAACAAAAAAAAAAATATAATAAAGCAAAATACGTGTAGATTAACAAAAAGAGCATTAAATAGCTGCGGACAGTGACGTTTACGTTTTCTGACAGGCATTTTACCTTAAGACCATTGCCATTGACACACCACTAATGTTTTGTATTTTTCTTTTGCCTTGATCGTTTTCTCTCTGTCTTTCTCTTCTCTTTCTCTTTTCGTTCGTCTGTATTGGCTCGTTTGGTTTGATCTGCAATAGGTGGTCCTTCGCGGGCTCAATGGGAAGACGTCACTGGCTCGACTCCATTAACATTTGTCAACGATTGCGTTTCGTTCACCACCACCGTATCGGCTAGATTTTGGCTTATGGATTGTCGTAACATTAGTGAGGCCACTAAAATGGCTACTGAATTATACAAGTATGCAACATTTTATACAAATAAATAATAGTAAGACACGTTCACTTAACATAACTCCCCTTCTCCCATATTGCATCCTAATAGGGAAGTCATTCATGTACCTTTCATAGCTAAATTTGTAGTGTTTGCCAAAAAAGTCGAACCATACGAAGCCCGCCTGCGCGTCTTCTGTATGACGGACGACCGCGAGGACAAGACACTGGAGAAGATGGAACTGTACACGCAGGTGGCCAAGAGTCGAGATGTGGAAGTGCTCGAAGGCAAGCCCCAGTACATTGAGATGGCCGGCAATTTGGTGCCGGTGACAAAATCGGGCGAACAACTACAGTTGCCATTTAAAGCATTCCGAGAGAACCGACTTCCATTTACGGTGCGGGTGAAAGACCAGCACGCCGATATTGTGGGACGTACACTGTTCATGAAGGAGCCGAAGGTTGCCAAGGGAGAGCCGCCGCAACAGCCCATCTGTATTCTGAATATTGTGTTGCCGGAGGCTGTCATACCTGATTCGGTTACGGCATTCTCAGACAAAGTCACGCCCACGTACCGCAGTTCGCTGCTGAACTTCAGCAAGCATCAGAACGATCACTACATCGGGGACATACGTATCGTGGACCTGTCGAATCTCCTGGGCAAGGACTGGATACAGCTTGCCACCGAAATAGGCATATCGACCGAGGAGATTGACGAAATCATCAACCAGAACACGGACAGTATTGCTCGACAGGCTCAAAGTATGATTCGCCTGTACAAGGACAAGCCCAATTACGATTTGCCAGCTCTGGAACAAGCTCTCAAAAACATCGGACGTGACGACATAATGAGCAAATGCAAGAGCGGAAGACTTTCGCATTCGCGCGACTTTGATGAAACCGATATCATGAAAAATTCAGAGTCCGTGGAGGAGCTTGTCCGACAAGAAAGTAAGTACCCATGCATAGTGTAAATAACTCGCATGTCCTTTTTAATGGTAAATTTAATTTTCAATATTCTAGGCAAGCGGATACAGCAAATCCATGAGCGCGAGGAAATCAAATACTCGGCCGAGGAGAAAGAAATCGAAGAATCAGAGTCGGACGAGGAATGTGTGAAGCGTTCGGTCGCTGAGAGGCGCGATAAGATTGTGAAACGGTTGTCGGTGGAACGACAAATTCCCGCCTCATCCCAGAAAAAAGAAATTTCCCGCGAAATAACCGAAATCAAACGAAAAAGCTTGATCGACGACAAGAAGGCCATCCATGAGTCGGAAATAATGATGCAGTTGCCTGCCGACAATATCGTGAAGTCTGCCGTCGTTCCCGAACAGGTAATCAAAATGAAAATGGGCAAGAAGGATTCGTGCGAAGTGAGCAAGAGCGATTTTGACAAGGAGCTAACGCACAAATTCAAAACATCCAGTCGTAGTTCCGAGGAGGAAGACGATACGTCGAGTGCGGCGAAATCTCTGAGCAGTCACGAGGAGGTGGACAATTCAAAAATCGTCAAAGATATCAGCAGTGTTGAAAAGCCAAGCAAAATCATTGATTCGTTGAAGTCGGAGCAGCCATCGCTGGCCTCCGGTACCAAACAATTAACACAAGACTTTTTAGCATTTGAAAAATTCACCCAATTGCCATCACAGCAAACCACCGCAGTGCCTGAAAAATTCGTCGGAGAGGTTAAGGATAAGTCGCAGGAGGTAGTACAAACCGCGCACGAAATTGTGAGCGAGACCGTGGAAACAGCGTCAAAGAAAGTAGAAAATATTATTTCAGCATTTGAGACTAAAAAACCTGAAAACGGTTTAGCTGAACCTCTCGCTACGAAGTCAACTTCCAAGATCATAGATGAGACGGCGGAACGCATACAAGACTCCATAATTGCCGACCAAAAGAGTGCAGCCGATGCCGTTAAAAGCTTCTCTGAAACCAAAGTCGACGAAACAAAAGAATTTCTCTTGACCGAAAGCGAATCTGTAAAGGATAAAATAAAAGCTTTCACTGAACCTAAAATTGCCGAGGCCAAGGACACTTCGTCTCAATTTGCCCAAGGTGTAGGCAAGGCAAAGGAATTTATCGAAAACGAATCTTCAAGTGCCGCCGAATCTGTGAAAAGTGGTGCTAGCCAAGTGCAGGACAAATTAAGCGCTGGTTTCGATAAACTGGGCCAAATGTTTGCCGGTGCAAAAAAGACCGTCGAATCTGAGGTGAAAGAAACTTCAGAAACTATAGAAACAAAAGCTAATGAGACTAAATCTGAAACCAAAGAAAAAATCGAGCAAGGTATTGCCGGTACAAAGGACTTCATTGTTACCGAAACGAAAACTGTTACTGAAACGATAAAAACATTTTCCGAACCCGTAAAAATAGAAGAAAAACTAACAGAAGCAAAGGACTCGGTGAAAACAGAAGCCAACAATGTAGCTGATGCTATCAAATCGTTTACTGATAAGGCAGGTGCTGCCATTGACGGGGTGCAATCAAAGATTAAAAAGGAACAAGTTGTTGCCTCGGACAAAATTGACCAGACCATAGCCGATTTTGAGGCCAAAAAGGTAACATACGAATTTCGAGGTCTCGAGCCTAAGGTAACACCAACCACCACCAGCTTAGAACAAGAACCAACAAGCGTTCCTGAGGCTGCGCCTAGAAAAACTGTGTCTACTCTCGACGATTCCCGGGAAAAACTAGAAGAAATGAAATCAATTGTAGCCGACGCCAGGAAACTAACACGCGATTTCTTATCCATGGAACAGGAATCTCAGTTGCCCAAGCCACGATCAGACATAGTGGAAGAAACCAAACAAATTGAAAAAACAACGGTTGAGACCATTACATTCCCACCAGTGGTGGAGACCACAATAAAGGAAGGCAACGATTTATTAATGAAGGGTAGTGAAACACTCCACACAGCAAAACAACAAATTGACAAACATGTTGACGAAGCCAAACAGATTGTGGACGATGGCATTGAAATCGCTGCCCCCATTACCAAGCCCGAAATCACCACTAGCTCTGTCAAGACCCTAACACAAGATTTCCTTAGCTTCGAACAAGCCGGCCCAATGCACGTCACATCTAGCAGCGAACCACGTAAATCGTTGACAGATGCCGAGTTTTGCAAATCAGTCGAGGAGACCATTACCAAGAAAATGAGTGAAGGTTTAATAGAAATCTCGGAACAGCTTAAACTGGAAGGTGAGTATTACGAACTGAAAAGTGGATACCTAATTCATTACCTCGCCTCTACCCCCTTACTATTATAATTATTATTTTTATTTTCAGAGAGCGATATTCCACATTCGCAAACACCACCACCAACCCCTATTGAAACGAAAAACGAAAAAAGTGAATATGCCGAAGGAACACAGAAAGCAACAATTGACGAAGGTGAACATAAGTAAAATTCAAATACATAACAATTTGTGTGTCCATCACACTTAGCTAAATAAAATGAAACGCCAATGCAATACTATTAAAAAAATATTAAACTAAAAGGAATTCTCGACAACAATAGATTCGTCTCTCGTTATCAATCTCCTTGGAGGAAGAGGAGAAGGTTTTGATTATTGTTAACATTTTTAATTTATTTCAATTTGCTATATAAAACAGTATTTGTGATAACCGAGAGACGAATAGTACCGTGTACGGGGTAAGCTGTGCATATTTATACAATTTTCAGTTCTGTTCTAAGTTTATAAAGTTCAACACACAGCCAGGCCTACAGTGCATTGAATTTAACATTACAATGGTGTTGAGATGTTTTTGGCACACAAAATAAAAATGATTGTGAATAATATACATACATATAAAAAATATCGAAAATAAATATTCAATAATGTGTCGATGTAAACAAATGTTATGCACATTTTTCTTTACTTTTATTTTTTTTGTGTTTTTATTTTTATTTTATTTTTTGGTTTAGTTTGTTTTCAACATGATTGAGAGTGGTTAGGTCTTTGGGTGTCTTTAACATTCAGACTCTGCTGACATTGTTGCCTGATATATAATTTTTCATATATATAGAATATAGAACAGAAGAAGCATGACGAAGGAAAGGTGTTTGTAATATTCTGGGTTCAAGTAAACCAAGCCTAAGTCTCTGATCAATATGTTTTATTTATTTTTTATTGTGTTTTTATTGATATTGTTACGATGTTATATGACATTGTCAGTGTTGAAATTGCAGGGTAATTCCTTTTGCTTCACGCACATTTTTCATTTTGTGAATTTTTACACGAGTTTCGATTACTGACTGGCCCTTTTATAAAAATATTAAGAGACATTTTTCTCATACAAATACTTTCTGAATAGAAGAGTTATTAATTTTCAGTGTACTATTAAAAACTTAGCAAAACTGTGAAACTTGCTGGTTTCAATAGTGTCTTTTTTTTCTGTTACTATTTTGACAACATTGGCATAGTTTAGAATGTGGACAATTAAATACAATAATATTTTTTTAATTGTTTGATTTTATCAGATGAAGTCATAGTTTTTACTTTAATATAGACAAATAAACTGAAATTGAGGCCCTCTATGAAATAAGTCTGTTTTTACCCAGGTCATTTATTGGTCCAAAAATTCCAACTAAGAAATGGCTATCAGCTGTATAAGTTAATTGTCATAACCCAATATACCGAAAAAGCTTGAGAATAATATTACAATAAGCTTATGAATAGAATTTATCTGACAATTTTCACAAAAAATCAAAACAAATTTGTCAACAAAGGACAGATTTGAGAAGAGTTTGTGCAACACAAGTGTTTCTCAAACATTTTTGAAAAATGTTTGTGACAAAATATTTTTATAATATTATTCTCAAGCTGTATTATATTTCTGGTATGTTGGGTAACTTCATGATTTCCTTTGTGCGTGCATTCACTTGATAGATTGTATTTTCAACTGTAATGACTGAGTAGAGTGATATCCATACATGAAGGTAAGGTGATTGTCCTGTTGAATTACAATTCCAATTTAGAGCTAAAAAATACTAAGATGTCCGATAAAGTCTTACCAATAACAACAAATATAACGACTCTTTGCTCAAAATTCTCTTTGGTTTTCCATAAAAATATAAAAAATGCTGAATACAAAATTTTTAAATGATTTTTCAATTAAGTTTTTATTAAATTGTTTTTGTTTGAGTATAAAATATCGACAAAAATCTTTAAATTTAAGTCCGATAACTGAATAGTAGTGGCGGTAATAGAATTTAATTTGTTAAGTATATCGATCTAAATAATGTTAAAAAAGATGGGACTCATGTAGTTATTCAGTAACATATTGACATATAAAATAGTTGACTAGTTTTTTTTCAATACGCGCGCGACAACGCTTCAACTTTAGATATGCATGTAAGCCAATAGTGGATTTTCTCGCATTCATCTAATTTCCGGGTATAAAAATCAGCATGTTGGAGGTCTTCAAGAATTTAATTTTGTGTTTTAATAGAATCTAAATTATGTTGCATACATTTAGGCTCAACAAATAATTAACGCCAATCCACAATAGTATTTGTATGTTGAACATATTTTAGGGCATAGACAAGACATTGCCAGTCATTAAAAATTATCAATACCTTACTCTAATAAAATCAACTCATGGGCGATATATTAAGTAGGATGAAACACAAACTCAAGTGTGTCTCTGGTAGAGGAGTACGTCCCATTCAAAACCAATCGTTTTCTAATTATATGTTAAATGACTTTTAAAACATAAATTTGACAACTACTGTGCTCCCTGCACATAACCACAATATGAATTCTTTAAAAAATCTGATATGTATAATGTTAATTTTAAGGTATTGTATTAGATACTTGCAGTTTTTTAGAAAGATTTAGTATTGTATACAAATGTGAATATATTAAGGTTAGTCACGGCATTATTTCCATTCGTATTAGTAAAAAAATACTCTGAACTAAGTTGGTAAATATCATTTTTTGAGAAGAAATCCACACAAAAAATATTCCGTACAAGTGGCTACCCTTAATGTAGATACATTTATAGATTTTTAGAATACGACAGCATGACATTCAAGTCACTCATACCATGTCATATTGTATATTTTCCTCCATTGCAGATAATCTGATAGATACAGTGAAAACTTTACACAAAACAACTGAATCGACATTTGAACGCATAACTACCATTTCGACTACTGGTAAGTGGATTTGAACATTTTGCAATCTCTAGTTTCTAGCTATGGAATACAACATGAAACTTTATTTCAGTATTTGTACTTATGTATTCTTAAGTATTTAAATGTTTTCTGTTTGCCACATTTTATCAACCTATCAGATGAACTAAAAATTATCACATTCTTAATTTTTCTTTGGCAATGTAGAACGTTTATCCATTTTCATTTTCCCGTTTTAGTTTGGTTTTTGGTTATTCGTCTTTCGTTTCGTTTTCTGTTCGTTTGGTGATTTGATTAGTTCACTTGTTTTTTGTTTCTGGTTTTATTTTCAGTTTGTGTCAAATTAGTTTACGTTATGTTATCCTTTTGTTTGAGTTGAAACAGAAATGTCCAAAGGCTTATTTGTGTGTATTTGCAAACATCCATGATATCATTTGAATAGTAACCTAGTTATGGTACATATTTAGAAATCTACAACAACAACAACCAAAATAACCAACTTTACAAGTTTACAATAACTTAAACCATCCATCTAGCTGTTCATTTTTTGTGTATATCTTAATGAAAATTTCGCGTTAAACTGAAATATATACCTACACACGTACATACATTTGTATGTATGTGTGCATGCAAATTTTGAAATGTAAAAGAAGAAATGTTCTTTTTTAACATGCATATATATGGAGCTTGAAATGTATTAGTGGCGGGCAGAGTGGTCAGGTCCGACGTCATCTATTATTTATCATCCACCTACCACACCACTCACCATCGATGTGTCGTCATAACGCCTACATGTAAATAGATTTTTGGGGCACATTTCAATTGGATTAGAGTTGTCACCGAAAGGGCAAGTAGAATTATCAGGATATGTGGTCCGTCGTTCGGTGTCTGTTATGTCAGAGGGTTGGTCGTTTGTGGGGAAGTGGGTGATTGAATCGTAAACTTTGTTTAAGTCACAAGCGCGGGATTTGGATAAAGTTGCATTAAGTATATTAGAACAATAACCACCAAAACTGAAATTAAAATATTCGGCCTTTACTCGGGAAATAAATAACAAGTTTCAGCTTCTTTTCTTCAAAATACTGAATATCAGGAGAGACTTTGAATTTTGCGATTAATTTACTCTGTTGTCATTTGTAAATACTATGATCTTGTAGTACAAAAAAAGCAATTAAATTAATAATTAAAAATATGAAGACTGTAGCTAATACTGGATTCATATGGAAATTGGAGAAAATCGACTAATAAAATTAAAATTTCCAGGCTATTCTATAGTACAGTGCTGGGTTTTTACAAAGAACGAAATGCAGAAAAGGATGAAAAAGATGTTCTGAATTACTTTGCATTTTTGGTTTCCCATCAGCAGAGCTTGCAATCGTCATTGGATTTTAAAAAGTCTTCGCCGTACGAGTTGTTTTTAAATAACTAACCTGAAGAGAATATGCCAAGACAAAATCCGAAACCATGGTTCATTCAAGTTGAGCTATGAATTAAGGAAATGCATTGAAAATGGGAACCGATCAAAGTTCCACGCATATAACTATTAAGCGATATTTTTGTCGCGGTAGTACCTATAACGAACTCCAAACAACAAGTTCAAGACAATTCTGTTGAAACATGTAGTTAAAAGCATTATAATACCGATTATGGGGGCTATACGAAGGCGTGGATCTGTACAAATAACATTTTCTGTCATAGAAGATAGTACCCACAACGAACTCCTAATACCAAATTAGAAACAGTACCGGTGAAAAGTGTGACACAAGTCATCAAAATACCGAATATCTGGTTGTACAGTAATATGGGGACTATACATAATGGAAAAACAAACTGTCAATTCAGGTTTAAATTGTTGATAAAACAACCAAAAAAACTTTAATCTACAGGTACAGTTATAAGGGGGCTATATCAAAACTATATACACTGGTGGCCAAAACTAAAGCAACTTAAATCGCAAAGACAATAAATGTCCTGTAACTTTTACAAAAATAAACAAATCATAATTATTTTTCCAGTTTTAAATGAGGAGTTTAATTCACTTTTAAGAAACTAAAAATAAAAATACAAAAATAATTTTGAACGAAAAATAATATGTGGAAAACTAAAATGATCCAATTTTTGCTTGGTCAAAACTAAAGCAACTTTTGATTTTTTATTTAAAAATAATTAAATTTTGGCTAGTAGTCGATAGCATAACCATTATTTTTGATATCAGCCGCACACCTGACACGAGGCATTGAATCTATAACACGCTCAATTTGATCCTTGGGTGTGCTTTCCCAGGCACCCAGAATTCTTTAGAAAACGTTGTGCTTATTTATTTCCGAATCTCTGTTGATCTTCCTATCTACGATACTCCAAAGGTTTTCTATGGAGTTTAGGTCAGGTGATTGTGCCGGCCATAAAAAAACATGAATTTTTGACTCCCGCAACCAATATTTGACAAGTTTTGATACAAGTTTGGGATCATTGTCATGCTGAAACACCCAAATCAGCCGAATATTTTACTCAGCGTAAGGGAACAACGTGATGTCCAACACATCTTTGTAAACAAACCGATCCACAACGTTCTTTATTTTATGGATAGGCCCAAGTGCATAGAAAGAAAAATAGCGCCACGCCATTTTTGACCCTCCCTCATGCTTCACTGTACCTTTGCAACACTGCGGCTTGAGTCCTTCATTTTTTGGTCTTCTCACCGTAAAATTTTTCACGTCTGAGCCTTTAATATTAAACGTAGACTCATCCCAGAAATAATGTTTTTTCCATTGAGCTTGATTCCACTTAATATTATCGTTTCCGAAAGCCTTTTTGATTTTTTCAGATAAAAATGGTTTTTTGATGTCTTACGGACATACAGACCAGCTGCCACTACTCGTCTACGCACTGATCTCGAGCTTATATCCAATGATTGCTCTCTCACCAATCCAGTTGAACTCTTAAATAGTTGTTTTTTATTTCTCTCACAATTTGTGGGTCAGTACGGGCTGAAGTTTTTCAGGACCTTCATCCGTTATAGACTGTTACTATTGATCCAGTTTCAAAAAACCGACTTAGTATACAGAAATAAATATGAAATCACATAAATATTTATGAAATATTTCTCGGAAATCATTTTCTGTGATATATTGTTTTGATAGTCACTGATAATTTGCTGTTTTATTCAGGTACTGTATTTGCTTCTAGCCATTTTTAAAATTTGGGCAGTACTTAAAAAACGAAAAGAAAAACACATACTGTTGTAAAAAACTTCTCAAAAAGGATTTATGACAAGCGAAATTGTCGAAGGAAGCAAAAAGCGATAAATATCACAGTAAAAACAACAGAAATTGCAGCGATTATATGAATGTATAACAGAGTTGCTTTTGTTTTGTCCACGCCAAAATCGGGTTAATTGACTTTACCAAACATTATTTTTTATATAAAAATGAATTTTGGTTTTATGTTTTAGGGTTTTAAAAAGTGAATAAAATACCCAATTTAAAACAAGAAAAACTTTGCCATTTTCTTAATTTTTGAAAAAGTTACAGGGCATTCATTCTCCTTGTAATTTCAGTTGCTTTAGTTTTGGCCACCAGTGTATATATCTATGTAGTCAATTTTCAATACCAAAAGTTCTACCTAAAACACATCTGAGTTAAATTTTATCAATTTGCTTCATTTCGGTTGGAAGCTACAGTCATTTCCACTGACGGACGGACTGACATCGCTAAATCGACCTAGAATATAAAATCTACTATCGACCTATATATAAAAATAACTTCGGTGCCCTAACAATTTAAATGCCAACACTGTTCTCTTATTAAGGTGAAACTCAGCACGTTTGAAAATGTGTCTCGATGCAACCGTTCCGAAGTATATTTTACAGGATATAACAGTTCCAAATGTCAAATCGGTTGTAGAATGTCCTCCAAATGCCATATAACTATATAACGGTATCTTGAAAAGTGACCATTAATTCCTTTTGTTCCCCTTCATTCATTTGAAGTGCGCTACATTTCAGTGTGGGGTATGATGACGTAATTGGGTAACGCTGACAAAACGAATCATAACGATCACGAAATTAATTACGATATGAAGATTAATTTGAAATTAATGGTTCCGGTTTAGATATATTGCTCAGGCTTCGAGGTCGAGGGCCAAATCAGCAAAGACACTAAACTTTTCTCTGAGTGTTGCTGGTATTTTTGGAATTACGTACTTAAAGTACTTCTATAGCTAACATTTTGACATTTTTGTAATGCGAATTATTCCATTCAAATTCGAATTGTTCCATACGTAATTCATATTTTTCTATTTGTAATTCGAATTATTCTATTTGTAATTTGGTACAAAAGTCGTGGAGAAAGCTCTGAAACTTGGTACTTTACTTCCAACAATTGTTTTTTATTGTACTAAAATTCTAAAATACTACATAGGACATTTATTAGGTGAACCAAGTCATGGTGCTCAAAGCCTGTTGCCAAAGATGAACTAGAAGCTAAAACTAACCTATTTTCTCATAGACAACAGGTTTGTAATGTTCGAAATCAGTTCTTTATTAGATAATGACTAGTGTTGTTGTTATTGTCTGATCCGGATTAACTTTTGCTTGTTGTTTTGTTTTGTTTCTGTTGTAAGGTATTTCAACAGCCTTGCTGTTGCAGACGCCGAGTGAACATACACTCATATTCACACACTGTACTAAGTATATGCCAGTGTTACCGCAATTTATCGATGCTTTTTGGGTCGAAATTGTAAAATACGAATTTATTTTCTAAAACGACACGCTTCAATTTTATGCGTGACAGACACACCCAAATGACAATGAAGAAATATCACATTTTCTTGAAAGCCGATTTTTCTTTTTCTAGACACTCTTAGTATAGGCACAAACCACTTGCTCAGAATGCATTTTGACTAGTATTTACCATTTTGGGGCTTTGACGACATGTTCAAGAGATACACATATAAGTGTTAATGCTTTTTTAATTGCATTAAAAGAAAGAGCCGACGTTCCTAGTCAAAGTTATGACCGCGATGATGCACAGTCCAATTTATTTAAACCGTTCTGTAATCTCAACTTATGAACTATAACTGCAACATAATGTTCAATTATTTTTTTTAGAGAAAAGTTGAATGTATGTTGAATGTACTTCTCCATAATGCGTCTTGCTTAATTTGGAGAGAATGGACTGCACCTTTTTTCACGACTTGAAACTACGTAGCCGAATTCTTTCCTCGCTAATAGATTTATTTTATATTCATGAAGTGAACGCTATTAGCACAAATAACTTATGAAAGATGACCACGAATTTTAAAAACACTGTAAACAGGGTGTGATAAAAACTGCAACAATGTCAAACGCCATGATTTTTTTTTAATTGTATGAAATGAAAGAAAAAATGTCGGAAATAGCATCAAATGTTCGAATAAGTTTAGATTTGTTCGAATTGGTCACCTTTGGCACGAATTATGGCCTTCAAAGCGCTTGCTTGAGGTGATCGACACTTTAGTCCAACGGATTGATATCCGGAGATTTTGGTGGTGGCCATTGTGCGCTGGAAATGAAGCGAGGAACCTCATTTAATGGAATGTCCAAGATCTGCGGGCAAAATATTTGCGTGCCCAAAGCTTTAATACACCCTCTAGAATATTATCGCGATAATATTCGGTATTTATTCTGTTGCCACGGTCGATTAATACGAGCGGAGAGCGACCATCGGCTGTTATGGCGGCCCACACCATCACCATGGCCGGCGCTTGAGTTCTGGTGGCCAACCGAAGGTGCACATTTTCAGCAGACCTCTTTGGCAAGTAAATGCGATAATTTTGTTTGTTTACAAACTGCTGGACAACGAATGTTTTCTTATCGGAGAAAACTAAATTCGGAAGTTCACCACTTTCGGCCTAGCGAAGCAACCCTTTAGCTCTTTTGAGTCTTTTTTCTTTCTGTTGCGGTGTAAGTTCTTGCACTTTTTGGAATTTCAATGGCTTTATCCCGAGCTCGAATGAAATATTGCGATATGTTCAGTTCACGAGCCATTTTTCTGCCACTGCGACGCGGATTTTGATCAAGTCGCTTCTTTACTTTTCGAACCATTTCTGCTGATGTTGCTGTTTTCTTCCGTCCACTTACTTGGCGTCGGGACGGGCGATGGTACGAGACACAAAAGATTTATTCACATTTAAATGCTGGAGTGCTCTAACGATAGCCACTTGTAGTTTTCCAGCCAATAATAAGAAATCACACTATCGCGCTTGATTTCCATAACGAATAACTTTTTTTGGAAAATTCTCACCAAAATGCTTTTGTAAGCAATATAATGAGCTGTCATTGGAATAATTTTAACAGCTGTCGGACGATTGGCTTAGAAATGACAGCAGTCTGAAGTTGTTGCAGTTGTTTCATCTCACTCTGTATTATCATTAAACCTAGACAGATGAAATACAATTTTTCTATAAAAATCCCTTAAAGCTACCCTTTGAGGTTTCTCATAAAGAATCCAAAACTATTTTGAATGCATAGTTCATACATTTAGATAACAGTTCAATTTCTTGCCGCATCTATTTCTGTCGTTGAATAACAATTAAAATGGTCAAAATATAGAATAAAAAGGTATTTTTTAGTTTTAATACCCTCAGATTTACAGATACAGAAGAGAGGGTACATATAATTTGATACGGATAAAACGCGCTTCATCGAAATAATGGTTTTAGACCCGAAGTCTAATTCGAAGATGGGAAGTATTGGTCCACTTCTTCCGGTGCTTCCTCTACAGAGGACCAACATTTTGAATAACAATTCTCATAATATTTTAGCCTATTTTAGGGCAAGTACAACTCCTTCCGGTGGTTCCTGTACGGAGGAACTGTCAACAAGTCGTAGAGTGAGATATACCCTCCTAAAACAATTATTGCCAATAGACAATCTTTGGTTAATGGTTAAAATGGCTTAGTGGAATATTGCGAGTATGCAGACGGGTTTGCACCATAAAATGGACTTAACAAAAACCTTTCATTCCAAATGTTTTTCACCGTTTTACAGTTGGATTTTGGTCGATTTCCCATATAGTAATACGTTTGTTATGATTGAAGGCGATGGCTTCGGGTTGTATTCTGATCATTAGATAACAATACAAATCACATTTTCAATTCATTGTCGTACAACGTGCAGAGATATATGTCTATGTTATTATCAGAACGCTTTTGTATGATAACACTTTTTTGTAATAAAGGTGCTATTGAGTTGTCATAATCTTGAAATGCATGGAATCATGGCGGTCGCCGAGCGGTTGATGAGTCCTCATTAGAATCATCCAAATGGATTCCTTTAAACTTTATATAAACAAACGTTGTTTTTATAAAAATAACAATAAAGGGATTAAGCCTGACTATTTTGCAACAATAAAGTTTGCGAAGCTACGGATTGTAGGCGGTTAGTCATTTTTAAATTTCTTTCCTTGCCCAGTGTACATATTGCAGGAGATTTAGACATTTCTAAACTACGCCTCATTAAAGACATTGGCAACCGTGGGCGACAGACAATTGAAATCGAATTCAGGGTCATGCCTTTTTGCCTCTCCCACCCAGTACTTAATTTAATTTGTTGGCGAGACTCACATTTCAAAACCTCTCGTAGTGATTAGCTATTTCGTTATGTTTTGTCTTTTGTTTTTGTTACGCGATTCAGTCGGTCGGCTGGAAACGTGCGTCCTCAGAAACTTGTGTCGTTTGTAAACTTTTGATTTTTTAACGGAGAATATTGGAACAAAAAGCGAAAAATATTTTTAATTTTCAACTCAAAATTCCCAAATACCTACGTATATATACTGAAGAAAGTACAGAGTTCAATTAGTTCAAAATCATAAGAATTGTATGTAAATTATAAAATAAAACACAAAATTGAAACGACAACGCAACGGTAAGTTTTTATTGATTGATTTATTGTGGAAGCCGAGCAGACAACAAGCGGTTAATATGGGTCGCTCAGCTATCTATAAAGATGTTGTGTGTATGAAACTTCCAACCTCTCTCTCCCACTCACTCAATTTCTTTTTCGTTTCGTTTGTATGAATATTTATAAATGTTTTCAATAATAATTAAATTGTGTTTTTCATAGAAAACAGGGTACGAAATAAAAAAATAATATATTCAGTATTTTCGTTTGAATAAAATCCAATATTCGTTGTGTCTAACTTTTCAGTGTGTGTAACAGATGTTGCTGAGACAGTGACATTCTGTAGCAAGGACGATTTTTAATATTCCATTTTCATTTAGGTTCATCTGTTCTAAAGTTTATTTTAGAAATGTCGAGACATAGCACACAAGAATTACAACAGGAAATCTTCGATTCATGATTTGTATTCAAAATTAACGTTGTAGTTTAAAAACTAAAATATTTTCATAGTTATGTCGACTTATCAGTCATTGGAAGTTTGTTACAATGTCTTCATTAATTTCACTTCTTGGAATAGGCTTCTCTACACTTAGGGAAGCACAAAATGGTTACTTCTTATATCAAGCGATGATTCTAACATACAGGGTGAGATAAAAAATGCAACAAAGTCAAATGCCAAAACTTTTACATTTTTTTAAATTTTATTGAATAAAAGCAAAAAATGTCGGAAATAGTACCAAATTTTAGAATAAGTTTAGATTTGTTCGAATTGATCATCATTGGCACGAATTATGGCCTTCAAACGGCCAATGAAACCATTACACGCTTCCCGAATGTTGCTCTGCGGTATTTTGACCCATTCCCGGCGAAGCGCTTGCTTGGTATTTTTTAGTGCCAATCTTGCTTTCCAAAATACTCCAGACAAAATAGTCCAACGGATTGGACTACTTTTTTTCTGGAAAATTCTCACCAAAATGCTTTTGTACGCTTGTAAACAATATACTGAGCTGTCACTGGAATAATTTTAACAGCTGTTGGACGAGTTGCCTAGAAATGAGAAAACAGGGTACGAAATAAAAAAATAATATATTCAGTATTTTCGTTTGAATAAAATCCAATATTCGTTGTGTCTAACTTTTCAGTGTGTGTAACAGATGTTGCTGAGACAGTGACATTCTGTAGCAAGGACGATTTTTAATATTCCATTTTCATTTAGGTTCATCTGTTCTAAAGTTTATTTTAGAAATGTCGAGACATAGCACACAAGAATTACAACAGGAAATCTTCGATTCATGATTTGTATTCAAAATTAACGTTGTAGTTTAAAAACTAAAATATTTTCATAGTTATGTCGACTTATCAGTCATTGGAAGTTTGTTACAATGTCTTCATTAATTTCACTTCTTGGAATAGGCTTCTCTACACTTAGGGAAGCACAAAATGGTTACTTCTTATATCAAGCGATGATTCTAACATACAGGGTGAGATAAAAAATGCAACAAAGTCAAATGCCAAAACTTTTACATTTTTTTAAATTTTATTGAATAAAAGCAAAAAATGTCGGAAATAGTACCAAATTTTAGAATAAGTTTAGATTTGTTCGAATTGATCATCATTGGCACGAATTATGGCCTTCAAACGGCCAATGAAACCATTACACGCTTCCCGAATGTTGCTCTGCGGTATTTTGACCCATTCCCGGCGAAGCGCTTGCTTGGTATTTTTTAGTGCCAATCTTGCTTTCCAAAATACTCCAGACAAAATAGTCCAACGGATTGGACTACTTTTTTTCTGGAAAATTCTCACCAAAATGCTTTTGTACGCTTGTAAACAATATACTGAGCTGTCACTGGAATAATTTTAACAGCTGTTGGACGAGTTGCCTAGAAATGACAGCATTCTGAAGTTGGTTGCAGTTTTTTCATCTCACCCTGTATTGTAAACATTTCATTTCCACGCTTCAACGGCGTGCGGAATCTATTACGGTAACCTTTTTGTACCTTTGTGTAGACTAATACAGAATTTACTCAGTCAATTGAATTATGGGAAAAAACACGACTTTTTGTTTTTTTTTTTTTTTGCAGAAAAACAACCGATTTTTCATCTGGCTAAAATTATTTAGACACGACACAAAAAAGTTTAAATTTATACTTTTCATATTAAAAAAAAAAAGATTTTGCTTAAACGTCTGATAAAACCCAACTTTATAGTACATATATCTTCTGGCCAATACCAGTAAAGGTGTAGTTACACAGGCTTGAAGGCATAGCTAGGCATATTTTGTGACATTTCATAAAGGGATTACAGAGCCGCACTAAAAACCTGCCGTCAGTTGTCATTATAATTTGACATTAATATGCCTAGTCATGACTTCAAGCTTTTTATGAACTTGCACCTTAAGTTCTCAGTTGTAGAATTAAAAAAGTATCTTCCAAATCTCTCTCTCTTAAACTACAGCTTTGAGTACACCAGCATAATCCAGTGACTGTTGCAGAAAGACTCTTTCATAGTTTAAGGATAGTTTGACGCAGTACAGAGGTCAAATTCCCGACGAATTTCGGTCGAAATTTTTGCTTAATTAAATTGAAATTTTCAATAGAAAATACTAGATGTGAAAATTACAAATGGGTACAAGTTGGGGTTTAATGGTCAAAATTCGAATACATAATTTTCTTATAGATTAAAATTTTAAGAAGGCAAAAACAGCCTTATTCGTTCCAGAACTGGAAGAATGTAAAACATTTTACTACGCTAATAGATTTTTTTCTTTATAATATCGAAAAAATTGCAAAAATAGTACATTCTTGAAGGTTCTGGAAAATGGCAATTGTTAACTTCTTGATAACTTTAGTATCCTTTTTTTTAGATTTATATGCATACAAAGTATTTCAATACACTTGGTGTCCAACAAAATGAAAATTACATAAAGACTTTCGAATTTTGATTGTGAAACTATTTAAAATTAGTTGAAGTTAGGCGCATTACCGCATATGATTAATCTTATTTAGGTTGAAAGTGTCTCTCGCCCTCACTTATTTTTGGATTATGGATCAATTTTTTTAATTCTTTTCTACACACACACACACACATATTCAGTTGCGATTTGTGAGAAATCGACAGGCCTTAAAGACAACATGATTGGGAACAAAACAGCAAAAAACCAAATGCAAAAAAAATCTTTAATAATCAAATCAGCGAGGAAAGGACAAACACCAAATATAAATATATGACACAAGGTACCCTTAAGAAATTTGTGAAAAGTCAATCATGCTAACAACTATGATCGTTATTGAATGCTTATTAGGTTTTAATTTGTATGTATCTAAATCTCTTTTTAAATCTTATTACATTCTTATGACTTTGAGAAGGCTTCGTGTTAATTTACATCGACGTCTGAATTATGCGTTTAACGAAGAAACGTATAGTCAGTGGCTTGGTAGAAGACTATAGGTAGATGCATTGACACAGCTGCTGGGACAATGAACTGTCAAACCAATTTTGGAATTGAAAATGTTGAATGAAAAATTATTTAAATTTGTAAAAATTGTTGAAAAACACGAATTATAATAACCTCCGAATGACGTCGTATAAGAAAACATATAAAAATCTATTTATATTCGACAAAACATTTAAATTTTTTTGACATATCAATGCTCCCAAGGGTTGATGCATCTACCTGTATTCTTCTGCCATGGTCAGTAGCATTATTAAAACATGTTCGGTTTAATAATAATCCGGGGAAACTTAGATATGGAAGTTATAGCTATATGTGAATCAAGTGGGTCCAAGTACGGCCGAATTTATTTTAGTTGGAGGTAGAACGATCTTAATTTCAACCTATTTGGACAAACGTATCATGTTTTTATTTGCATCATCTACATCCGATTCGAAGGAAATATATGTGGGTGCTGCATCTAAATCTATAACGAATCCGATAAAATTGTGCAATGGCAGACTAGAAATGCCTGTGCCCAAAATATGTGCTATGCAGTGAAAAGAAACGCTTGTGAAATAGATATGATTGCACAAAGGAAAACCGACGAAGTCATGGAAAAATGGATTAAAGAAAATTCGTGTGTCGTGCTGATTAAAAATCAATTGAAAATTCCCAAGTACCGAAATCTAAGGTTTTATGAGTGGAAATAAAATGTGAAAATTACAGAAACAATAATAATGTGTAAATAAAAAATTTAGGCTTTTCTCTAAACCCATATTTGGTAGAAAAACTATAAAATCAGGTGTCCGACAGAACATTTAATGAACTTTATTCACTTGTTAATAGAAACGAACTAGTTATTTTCGTTGTGGAGTATATTATAGCTAGTTTTTCATTATCTTTCGATAGTCTGAGTACACGTTTTTATATTTTAATTTGACTGGTACTTTGATAAAAGGCACTCCTTGGAATGAGTTGTATGTGGTAGGACATGTAGTTACATGTTTCTGTAATATTTTACAATCGAAAAGAAAGCCGTCCAAACTTTAGAATCCAGGTTTTAGGTTTTTTATGACTCCATTTGAACTGCTTCAATATAGACAGTAACATACACTGCATCGCTGCGATTCTTTACAAATTACTTTAATAACTTTTTAATTTTATATATGTCATTAAACGGCCAATGAAACCGTCACACACTGCCCGAATGTTGTTCTGCGGTATTTTGGCTCATTCCCGGCGAAGCGCTTGCTTCGACAACTTGAAATCGACACTTTGGAATTTTTGCTTTCCAAAATACTCCAGACACAATAGTCCAACGGATTGGTATCCGGAGATTTTTGTGGCCATTGTGCGCTGGAAATAAAGCGAGGAACCTCAGTTTGTTACCATTCTTGGGTGGCGCGTACTGAGTGCGATGGTGCTAAGTCCTGTTGGAATGTCCAAGGTCTGCGGCCAAAATGTTTGGCTGCTCCTCCAGAATATTTTCGCGATAATATTCGGCATTTATTCTGATGCCACGGTCGATTAATACAAGCGGAGAGCGCCCATCGGCTGTTATGGCGGCCCACACCATCACCATGGCCGG